GAACCTTATTAGGGGTTCATATGAGTAATCAGCAAACTTTTTAGAATAGAAAGCAGTTTACAAAGTACTCTTATGGAGGTTTGTGTAGTATTAAACACACATTGTAAATAGGTTAAAATGTGGCACTGTGTTCTTTAAAAGGCTGACGTTTGTCTTTTGAATGTTCATAATCTTGATTTTCAAACTGATAGATGGGGCAAAACTATTTTTTTTGCATAATATTGGTACAGTCATTCAAGAAGGATCAAAGTTATAAATACTATGGATTTTTTTCTCAGAAAATTTGGAAGATTTTGATTAAAATTTAAAACATCAAAAATTTGCATTGCAGGAATGGTTTTAAAACTATAAATGGCATTTAAGAGCTTTAAACTAGCACAGGGACTTCATGAAAAATCTGTATTTGGCATTATTTTCCAGTTCTGTTTGTATAGACTTAATTATCCACTGTATGATGATACAAAAGGGAACAAGGCTGACTAGATTCTTTTGGCCTTACTATTTACACTTTTGGAATTTCTTATTTTTGCACATTGTTACAACTTCAAAAGGAATGAGGCTATATACAATAACAGTTCAGTATCTTGTGCCTAAGTTTTCATTTTCATAGAGTAGGCAGAGTGTCAATAGTTACTGAGTCTTATGATGTTTAAATCAGGTCAGACAGACTGTTCCTTTCATAGCCTTATTCTAATAATAACCTAAAATTGTTTCTTACATGCTTTAAACTACTGGCCTTGCATTCTGTATTAAGAGTAACAGAATAATTTAAACATGCTTTGCTCAGTCAGCAGAGTTTTAAGCCCTTCATATGTTTATTTTTATAACTAAAACTGAACTAATGTCACAGTGGATGGAATGAGTGAGTCAATATTTTCCTGATGTTTGCTGGCAAGTATCTGCCTCAGGAGTAATGTCCTGTAGACTAACTCAGTTGGTGAATGAGATGGGATTGTGTTTCTCAGATATAAAGGGAAAAATTGATACGATTATTCATTTAGTTTGGGGAATCTGTGCTTTTCCCTTAAAAAACAGAGTTCCTAAAGCATCAATTCTTATTTTTATTGATATTATGGTGCTTCTAATACATAAATATTTAAATAAATTTGCATAAACTATTTTTTTAAACTGTGTGACTCTCCCATTTATTAATAAGTAAACATATCTGATAAGGCAACTTTATATTTTTGTTTAGTTTCAAGGGGTAGTTTGGAGTTACTGTGTGTGCTTTGTTATTCATTTTATTTTCATCACTGATTAGTTTTAAAGTTTTTTTTGGCTTTTTTTTTTAAGCAGGCAGAGGATTTTAGGACTGTAAAACATACTTGGCTTGTTTCCAAAGTAAAAAAAAAATATTATTTTTTTTTAAAGCCAAAGCTCCATCTGCTGTTTTCATTAAAATCTCAAGAATTGTTCACATTGCCAGGAGCAGTTCTTTGAAAACAGTCTGATGTTTAATCAAGCAGTGATATGTGATTTTCAAGGTCATTTTTTGTTAGAACAGAAGAGAACTCAGGAAGATTAATTTTCTCAAACACTGATAAAATTTAAAATTGAATAATGTAAGTAGATTTTATTCTAGAGCTGTAAATATCAAAAATTCATACCATTGTTTCTTAAGAATTATATTTTAGAAATTAAATTAATATTTATTTATCTCTTTGAAAGAGTGGATTCTTATGGAATACAATTTTTAAAAAGATATTCCTAGCCTTGGCGCAGTGGCTCACACCTGTAAACTCAGCACTTTAGGAGGCCAAGGCAGGAGGATCACTTGAGGCCAGGAGTTCAAGACCAGCCAGGGCAACAAAGTGAGATCCCATCTCTGCAAACAAACAAACAAACAAAGAAAGCTGGGTTTGGTAGTACACATCTGTAGTCCTAGCTACTCTGGAACCTGAGACCTGAGGTGGGAAGTGGAAGGATTACCTGAACTGTGGAGGTTGAGGCTGCACCACTGCATTCCAGCCTGGGAGACAGGGTGAGAGCCTGTCTCAAAAAAACATTCCTATTTGACTTTGATTTCGGAAGTATTTATTCATATTGCAGGGAAGGAAGAGTGGATTTTCTTTTCTATATTTTGCTTAGCCTAATATAAAAAATCTGTAACTCTTTAATATTTAAGAGGTCAGTTGGGGGATGGATGTCAAGAATCATGATGGATTGGACTATGGAATAACAATATGAAATAACAATATGAACTTGAAAATAGTTAAAAGTAAAATATATTAATAACCAACTATATAAATGCTAAATGCTACTATAATGATAAAACTTGATGTTTAAAACTTGACTTAAGGCCGGGTGTGATGGCGCACACCTGTAATCTAAGCACTTTGGGAGGCCAAAGAGGGTGGATCACCTGAGGTCAGGAGTTCAAGACAAGCCTAACCAACATGGTGAAACCCCATCTCTACTAAAAATACAGAAAATTAGCTGGGCGTGGTGGCATGTGCCTGTAATCCCAGCTACTTGGGAGGCTGAGGCAGGAGAATCACTTGAACCCAGGAAGCAGAGGTTACAGCGAGCTGAGATCGTGCCGTTATACTCCAGCGTGGGCAACAAGAGCAAAACTCTGTCTCAAAAAGTAAATGAATAAATAAATAAACAAGCTTGATTTAGGTAGGACTCCAAATCATAGTTCTGAAGCCTCATTAGCTTCTCATTATCAGAATAAAAATTTACATACCTCACTGTGGCATACAGGATCCATCACCTGGCTCCTGACTTTTTCTCTGACCTCTTCCCTGATTCTTCAATTCTCCTAGAGTTTCCAAACATGCCATAGGCTCTCTAGCTAGCCTGCCTATTGTCCACTTTGCCTGTCCACTGGTCCCAGTTCTTCACTTCTACCCTTCCTTCCACTCCCAGGTAGCTGGACACATTTCCTCTGTTCTATCACATACTTCTTTTTGTTTTTCGTTTTTGTTATTACATTTTTCCCATTACATGGAAATTCTTTCCAGTTAGAACTAGGACTCTGATTTACTCCTCTTTGTATACCCAGGATGTAGCATGCAGTAGGTGCTCCCTAGTAATATGGCAGTAACAAGCAGAGCTCATGTGGTGCTTTGCTGTTCCAGCAGAAAATGCTGCAGTCCTTCTTGTCCACCAGAGAGTGCTGAGCAAAGAATGCTCTTTTGAAAAATCAAAGCTGTCAGATATTTGCAGGGCAGTATGACCTGTAGAAATTTAATATTAATCAGTATTGCCTATTTCCATCTTTAAAGTTAAATTAGAACATAAGCCCAAGCCATTAAGGACTTCCGCAATGCCTGGGAGCAGTTGTATACATATGGTATTGTTCCTGATCTTTGATGAGTGAAAACCTGAGATTTTTTTTCTATAATTTGTTGGCTCTCACAGTTCCAATTGGAGTTCCAGTAGGAATTTAAAAAAAATTTTTTTACAAGTAAGTTAGTTTTTTGAGTCCATATTCTACTCATCCAATTGTGTTAAATTCATACATAACATTTGAAACACTTTGTTCTAAATTTTTAAATAATCCGGTAAACCTCAAGCAGAAAAGTGCAAGCCAAAAGCTAATCATCTAACCAAATGTAATTTCACTTTGGGAACCTAAATATGTTGTAGAGGTAGCCATCTTTATCCTTATTAAAATGAACGCATGACGTTATTCTTTTTTTTTTCTTTTTAAAAAAATGTTCATAGCGTGCATTCCAATTACTTGAGCTCACAAAAGGATCTCTGCTTTCCAGCTTCTATAAAATCACACACTTGTCACCTGTCATTTCATCCAATAGGTGATGTATTCAGGGAAATTACGATCCGTGTTTTAATCTTCTCATGTTTCCTTCTCAGAACCTAGCCTGATGGTATTTCATTAGGGGGTGCTCAATGAATATACATACTGAATGCATCTTGAGTTCTTTACGTGGGAACTTTCTGGACCTCCTGTAGCTCTCACCTGTTCCTTTCCAGTCCCTTGGCCTTCACTGAGCCTGCTTCACAGCCATATATTCCTAGTATACTGAGCCTAATCCCTCCCCAAATTTCCTTTGCTGCTACTTCCTTTAGGCTCTAGAGTCACTTCTGTGCTGCAGCTTCAAGAGTTGCCTTCTTTTCAAATCCTCCACAGGACACCAAGCTTTATTGTTTTCTGCCTCTATTCTGTAGTAAAGGAAAGGTAGAAATTTCAGATAAAATAGTTTCATATGTTTAATAAGAAATTTAATTGTGTACATGTTTACATTGAATTTTTCAAAGTAAAGCAAGGCTGATAAAATATTTTCCAGTTATATTTCTTAATTACCTTTTCCCTTTTTTTCATTATCTAGCAGGTTTTCTACTGACTAGATCACAAAGCAACCAGTGTTGTTTCATTATTGAAATTGGGTAAATTGATCTTAGTTCAGTTCAACTAACATTTCTTGAATACCTACTGTCTACAAAAACCACAGATATTATGGAAAATTCCAAAGTGAACAAGGTATAAAAGCTTGCATTCTGGGGACGGAAGAGCTAACATATACCCAAATAAATAGAGTGTTTTTTAAATATAGTTAAGTGGGCAATAATAGAGGCATAAAGAGAACTCTCTGTGAGAAAGACAAGAGCGTGTAATGGGTTTAGAACTGGAACCTCAGGGAAGGCTTTATAATAAAGGACTTGACCTTGAAGGAGGAAGGCAGAAAGAACAATGTGGTTGTAGCTTTATTCATTTGTTTTCCAATTATTATTTTAGTAAAATTTTCTCTAAAGATCTATCTTTTTATTTCTAAAAAGGGGTGTTAGAAGACTACCAGGTAATTACCCCACTTTTATTTACTATGTAATTGATGCGTGGGTTGTTTCTTCATTAATAATAATGCCTTCTTGTATTAGTTTTTGACATGGCCCTTTAAATTAGAATAACGTAGCAAGAGGTGAACATGTTTAATACAAAATGAAATAACAACAATGAAGGATGGCTATTCTATAAGCCGTGTAGTATTTCTAATGCTATTTTAATGTGTGTTTTATTTATCCATGGTTTTTAGGCAGCTTGGATCTTAAAAGCAAGAGCACTAACAGAAATGGTGTACATAGATGAAATTGATGTAGATCAGGAGGGAATTGCAGAAATGATGCTGGATGAAAATGCTATTGCTCAAGTTCCACGTAAGTATTGGGTTTTCAGTTAAGTTAATGAAATACCATTAAGAGGAAGAATACTATGTATAAGAGGGATATATGTATATACCTATGTATTTCTACACTTTATATATATAAACATTATATACATGAAACAAATGATGAAAAAAAATTACTTCGAGTAAATAGTTTCTGTTCTGCCTTATAGTACAAAGGCTTTTTCCCCACAATTCAGTTATCTTAAACTTAAGGTATGGGATTGATGTATAACAATTTTCTAATACAAGTTATATTATGCATTTTAGAAATAATTTATATCTATGTTCAACTGCTGATCATATGGAAAAAATTTATAAAAATACATTCTATTTGAACTACTTGTCTAATATATCAGAATATTGTTTATCTGGGAAGTATCCAAACAACAGAGGTGTTCTAAGAGGACTTTAAAAAAAGATCCTTTGAAAACATCAGTTTATTGTTATAATTGAGCATGATTTGCTCTAAGTCATAATGTGAGGTAATGAGGTGATATGCTGGGCTGTGAGTGTCTGTTGGGATTGACCCAGAGGCACAGTCCCCAGCTTGCAGATGTGGTGGTACAAATGGTATTGGATAAAGGCTGGTCCGAGTGCAGTGGTGTTTACAACTACTTGATCACAACCCATTATAGGTTTCTTTGTTCCTTCTCCACTCCCACTGCTTCACTTGACTAGCCTTAAAAAAAATGGTATTGAATGATAACCAGGACATTCGGTGGTCTTGCTGGTAATTATAGTTCTCAGTCATTTATATCTTTTGGAAGGTAATAGCTATTTTAAACCTTCAAATAGAAATTGAGAAAAAAAATACATATTTTTATGTTAAAATGTCTTTCTTTACCATTATTTTGTTCTTTTAGAGTTAAAATATCTAAATTCTAGATATTGTGAATAAATTGTGTTTTATTGGAAGAAGTTTATATGAGAAATAATTGAACTATGAGGATAGAACCATTATTTTGAACTTTGGAGCCTGTTAGTCTTGAGTTTAAATCCCAGCCCTACTAATAGGCTGACCTGTTTATTTAATTCTGTGAACCTTTGTTAAATGGGTTAATACTACCTGCTTTACAGACTTAGTGTGAAGATTAAATGTGATGACATAAGTAACATGATAGGTACTTAAATATTAGTCTAAAACACATTTCCCTAAAATATATTTCTTGCTATTAATGTCTTTTTCACCAGGCCAGCACAGTTCTGAAAACTGTATTAGCTTACAGTTTTTACAGATTAATTGATAATATATAAATTGAATTAGCCATCCTGTCTCCTAGGCCCTGGAACGTCTTTGAAACTCCCTGGAACTAATCAGACAGGAGGGCCTAGTCAGGCCGTTAGGTATGTACTTCTGCTTCGTATCCTCTGCCACTAAATGTTGATCAGACTGTATGAGAGAAAGTCTCTCCTCAAATGATCTTCTTTGTATTATAACAATTTATAATCTTCACAGGCCAATCACACAAGCTGGAAGACCCATTACAGGTTTCCTCAGGCCCAGCACACAGAGTGGAAGGCCAGGCACTATGGAACAGGCCATCAGAACCCCCAGAACCGCCTACACAGCCCGCCCTATCACCAGCTCCTCCGGAAGATTTGTCAGGCTGGGAACGGTAAATTCTATCAGCTTTCCCATAGCCTTGTATGACTTTGGTATTACCAAAGTAGTTTTATACATTGGTACATCATTTTCCCCTGTTGTTATAGTGGAGAATTATATGGAAGATTTTTGAAGGTGGTTGTTTTTATTTTATGTTGCTTTTATATTTTTATGCATATTAAACTTGTTTATGTTTCAAGAGAAAGTTTCAGATCTCTTGTTCTATTGTTTTTCTTCTGTAGGCTTCCATGCTTACAAGTCCTGATGGACCATTTATAAATTTATCTAGACTGAATTTAACAAAATATTCCCAGAAACCTAAGTTGGCAAAGGTATGTACTTAAAATGATTTTGAGTTATAAAGTAATATTACATGTATGATGATAATGACAAATTAGAAAATGAATAAAAACTTGTGAAGGAAAGGCCGTCTTTATTGAAGTGGAAATGTTTAATATGTAAAATTACTCTTAGTCTTTGAGTTAATTGAGTTAAGAAAAGTCAGTCAGAAATAAAGTACATATACCATTGTTATAGGAAATTCTTTTCCCTTGATAAAGAGTAGTAATTTATAACAAAGAAAGCAGTTATGCAGCATCATCTTTGTAGAATGAAACTTAAGAAGTCATCTGTATATGTACGTAGTTTTTTCTTTTTTAGCTTGGACTATTCTCAGAGAAATAATTTTCTATCCTTGTAGCTTTTTAGGACTGTCAAAAAATGATAAAAATTATGTACTCTTAATTAGTAATTTATCAGGCATCTCAATAAGGATTACTCAAACCACATAGCGGCATGCCAACTACATTAGTAATTATTACTACTCAAAGATTAAGTGCTCCTTCAAATTAAAGAGAAAATGAGAGGCAGAGGGAGAGGGAGAAAGGGAAAGAGAAGGAGAGGAAGAAAAAGAGAAAGAGAAAAATAAAGGAAGGTGTCCATGACCTTTTCAGTATATAAACCTTGAGGGTGAGCTTGCAATAATTCAGAGACAGGAGCACTTATCTTCCGGAAACTGGTTTAAGCCTAGCTCAGGTTTTTAGCTGAAATCTCTGAGCATAAGTGCTGAGGTCATTCCTAATCTCAGTTCTAATGGTGTTTAACATACGTGTTTACTAAATACCAAACACTAGAGAAAATTAAAATGGACACTAGCTGTACAGACTTAAGTTTAAGTCTGAAAAAAAGATGCCATTTGGTAGACAGGGAATTAGCCTATAATAATGCTGCTGATTTTTTTTCTTAAATTCTTGTTTGGCAGCAATCCAGTTGACTTCATTTAGTAAAATTGTAAAGCTATCCTTACTTCCCTTTCTTTTATGAGAGTGGAGTATTGAAAGCAACTCACATGGAATATCTGGTTCCCGACCATTTAAGGCCACTTACTTGAAGGGACTGTCTGCCTGGTTGATACCATTGCTATATTTTGACCAGAGAGTCTGTCAATGGAAGCATTTTTCTCAATTAAATTAAGATGCATCCAGGACAAACCTGGTCTGTTACTAGATTTAGCCTGAACTAGATTTTGTGCTTTTTTAGTATGTCGTAGAAATAATGCCAAGTTTTCCTGTCTTTGGCCCTGAGCTTGCCTTGACCCACCAGGACTCATTTTTAATATAGGCATATTGCTTGGGGTGTCTAGGGTGACCCTATGACACTGTCTTTGATGCTATAACATCCTTTTCATGGCAATGGTAGCACCAACTGCATTCTTAACTTTTCTTTCTTTATAACAGAAAAAATGGAGGGATTGTTATAGGTTTTTTTTTGTTTTTTTTTTTTAAAGAAAGGCCTTGTCTTCATTTTTTAAAAAAATTGGTTGCCTCCAAGTCTTCTTTGTTAGTAACCTTGATATCTTCTAGGGGTGTTAGCCTCTTTGCAAGTGGTATTATGGAAAGTGGTATGATGGTATTATGGAAAAAGGTAATGCCAATAAGAGTAAATGCTTATTTGTTTAGAGGAGTTGAGTGAAATATTGGAAATAAGTGTTCTTAGCCCTGGCTGTCCATGCGAGTTATCTGAGGGCTTTAAAACATATAAGATCAGGCCTTTGCCATCCCCCCAACTTTGATTTAATTTAAGTGGTCTGATCTGCGACCCACCACCAGGTGTTCCCAATGTCCAGCTTGGCCGAGTAGCATCCTGCTAAAGAAACCTGAATATTCTGAATCATAGAGTTACTATAAATACCATCTAAGGAGAAATAGCTTTAAAAATTAAGCAAAAAACACCTCGCTTTACCCTTGTACTCTACTTTGTTTCAGTAGAAACTTCCAGTTTTTTTATGTCTAAATTGTCCTTATTAATATCATAATCACTGAATAATATATGTAGAGAGTGTAAAGAATTGTCTCCATCTGTTTTACGACAATCCTGAAGTTGGTCTTTAAGAAATAAACTTTTCATTTGTCTTTCTAATAAAATATACAATATGAAAAAAATGTTTAATTCTTTGAGCATTCTAGTTTGTAGTCTGTTAAAACCAGAATCAGTTGTAAATAGTAATATTTTAAAATGAGTGATGGTAACAAAATATGGGTAGGCCCTTTTATCTATAAATCCAAGGCTTTAGAGTGCTTTTGTTAACATAAAATTTAAAAAACATCTAATGTATTTTTGACACTTTTTTCTTCACAGGCTTTGTTTGAGTATATCTTTCATCATGAAAATGATGTTAAGACTGTAAGTTTTGAATTCATGCTATTTTCTTTTGAAATTTTTCTGACTTTGTAAGTCTAGATTCTGAAATATTCTATTTCTGACCTTATAAACAGATGAAATTATTAAAGATTGGAGAATTATTAATACTTTAAAATCCACCCTCCGTTTCAGTGGGAAAATGTGTATAAATACACAAGCGATAAGAACTATGCCTAGTTCATAGAGTATGTAGATCTCCAATAAATGGGAAGATACAGATAATTGAGAATACTGCATGACGTGCTTGTGTTAAAGTTATAGTTTTTATGCTAATGGTATTGTTGATCCATTTATTTCCTTAATCCATATAGTATATTCTAGGTTTACTAATGCACGTATTTCTGTTATTTTTGTGGTGTGTCCTTTTCCCCTGTCTTTAACATTTTGTGATCAAAGATTTCAAACATACAAAAGTAGAGGAAATCATCTTCATGGCCTCTTAACAGAGAATGTTAAAGTTATATGAGTATGACTTCTCAAATTGTTTTGATTTTTGCATGCTTATATGCAAATGAACACAAGCAGAACAACTTTGGTCAAATGTAGTTCATTCTACAGTGTCTGATTGCATGTTTTCTCATTTTCCTATTAGTTCCAGGAAAAAGGCTTTATATCCATATATTAAGCATTTAGGAAAATAAAAATGTTTTCCTTAATTGTGTTTTCTTTTTTTCTTCTTCTTTTTATTTTGAGACAGAGTCTCACTCTGTCACCCAGGCTGGAATGCAGTGGCATTATCATGGGTCACTGCAGCCTTGACTTCCCAGGCTCAAGCGATCCTCCCGTCTCAGCCTCCCAAGTAACTTTGACCACAGGCATGTGACACCATGTCTAGCTTAAAAAAAAAAAAAAAAAAAATTATCTATAGAGACATGCTCTCCCTATGTTGCCCAGGCTGGTCTTGAATTCCTGGCCTTAAGTGATCCTCCTGCCTCAGCCTCCCAAAGTGCTGGGATTTCAGGTATGAGCCACCATAGCCATCCCTTAATTGTGTTTTTTATGTGTCAACCACTAGCTATACACTAGGAGACCTAACAAAAAATATGATACTTTTCCCTGCCTCTACAAGCCATGTAATCTAGCTGAAGAAATAAAATGGACATAAATGAAATAATTAAAGAGGTAACTGTCAAACTGTGAAGTTGTTACCAAGTAGGAAAAGGAAAAATTCAGAAGGGATGATATTAGTAAAGATCCATAAAATAAGTAGGATGTATGGAAAGGAGGAAAAAGAAATGTAAAGAAAGGGCAAAAATAAGAATAAGATATGGAATGATCAATAAATAGGCCTTATCCTAGAAAATAGGAGTTCCACAGAGACATTTTAAAGAAGGAAGTGACAGAACTTGATGATAGATTTGATACGGGGAACAAAGGAAAGACAGACAGGTCAAATCTGCCTCCTAAAGATGCTGTGAGAAGAGTGACAGTTTTATTAGCAGAAATGGGATAATTAGGGAAGGAAGTCAGTTTGTGAAGAAGCTGACTAAGTGACTTGAAGGCATTTTGAGTTTGAAATGACAAAAGACTATCTTAAAGTGGAGATACCATTGCATGTGTTGGGAGATGTGACATTGAAATCTAGGGGACAGACTGGGCCACATATACAGAATGCGGTGTTCATAGATGTGGTTATATAGGGAAAACAAAATATGAAGGTTGGGACAACTGAGAAACCATGCACATTTCTGGAAACGAAAGTCAGCCATCTTAACTTCATAAAAAGCTGGTGAGAGGCTTTCAGCATGATGATATATAAAATTATGTGGTCACACTGTAATTAAAAAGCATTAGAATGCTATTCCATTTCATAAACTAGTAAATCTCGAATGACTAAAGTATCGTAAAGTGATACTCTTATATTTGGAAGATGAATGCATATCAGGGGAATCTATTCTTTCATCCAATATATGTTTGAACCACAGTTCCAGCCCTGAGATCACACAGTGAAACAAGCAGACAAAGTGTCTGCTCTTTTAGAGATAATATTCTGGTTGGGCAAGGAATAGAAACAAACAAACTTTAAAACGTATGAAGTCTCATGGGCTAATGAGTACTGTAACAACAAAGAAGCAGGAAAACAGGTAAGGGAATCAATAACGACATCGGGGAGGATGCTATTTTGGATGGAGTGGGGAGTGGTTATTGAAGTCACTCTGAACAGAAAACATGTGGCTCAGTGGCTGAATTCTAGCACTTTGGGAGGCCGAGGCAGGTGTATCACGTGAGCCCAGGAGTTCGAGACCAGCCTAGGCAACGTGGTGAAACCCTGTCTCTACAAAAAATACAAAAGTTAGCCAGGCGTGGTGGCACGTGCTTGTAGTCCCAGCTACTCTAGAGGGGTAGAGCTGTAGTCCCGGCTACTCTGGGAGGATCACCTGAACCCAGGGAGGTCGAGGCTGCAGTGAGCCATGATCATGCCACTGCACTGCAGCTTGGGTGACAGAGTGAGACTCTGTGTCAAAAATAAAAAGAAAGAAAAGAAAACATTTCAACAGACACCTGAATGAAGGGGGACAGGAACCACATCATTATGTGTAGGAAGGGCATTTTCAAAGAGCTTTAATGTAAAGGCCCTGAGTAGAAGCATGCTTGGGTTGCCTGAGGAACAGCAAGAAGGCCAGTGTGGCTGAGTGAGGCCTGTGAGGAGGAAGAGTTGTTGGTGATGAGTTCAGAAGCTAGACAGATCATAAGCCATTTGTAGGTCATGGCAACAGTGTTTTTCATTAATAGATTCATCTTGAGGATGTAGTTCTACATCTTGGAATTTACCCATTCTTACTGAGGAATAAAAATCACATTGAAAAAAATGTAAGATTTATTCCCTGCACTACTACACTTATGTTCTAAAGATTCTAAGGATTAGCAGACTTTAATTTTTACATATTATGTTAGTATCCTAGTTTTTCATGCATATGGACTTAACAAAATTTGATTTTAAACAGATAGAGTAGTAACATTTAAACTTTTTATCTTAAGCAGCAAAATCCTTTTCTTCAAGTGAAATCTTATCTAGACCCTAATATGTAAAACAGACAAAAGTCGAGCTACTTGAATTATAGCAGGGCTAGCAAACTTAGAACATATCCATCAGCCCTCCTCCTTGCTCCTCCCACCCCATGATCTTCTACCTCTCAAATATTAGGGCTCTTGGGTAATTCCTATATTAGGCTCTGTTTCTAAATTACCTGGGGAATTATTAAATAAGGACTTCTGGATCTGTGCTAGACTTCCTGAGTCAGAATCCTCAAGGGTACATCTGGCGAATCTGTTGTTAATAAAAGCTCTGCAGGCAATGCCAATTTTCAGGCAGGATTGGAAAATACTGCTGTAGAATATAGTAGTTTAAAAACCAATGATTAATAGAAGGGTGTAATGCCAGGTGTTCCCGTGTAGTAAAATAGACCTGGGGAATACTAGCAGAACTCAAAAACCAGAGCTCCCTATAGCAAACAAAATAAGAGGAGGTGTGTTACCTGTCTCAATGAAAGAAATCAGCAAATGAAAAGAGACAACAAACATGACTCAAATACATCTCATTAACACGGAGGTGATAGTAAAAACTATTGAGAACTGGAGTCCCCATTTATAAATTATATATTTTTATTCTTGGTAACAGTGACTCTCTTAAAACACCAAAATCAAGCAAAATTGTTGAACAAAATTGTTGACTCTTTTTGAAATCCATCTTTATAATTTGTTAAATGGCACTCGAGAAAATTTGGGGACTTTGTTTTAGATATTTATTCAATGAAGAATTTAAAAAATTTAAACTAGCAAACAATAGGGTATTTCATAAATTTGGTTGGATTTGTGAAACAATCACAAAGGAAAAAGACTCACTGATGCGTATGTGTAATCCCTATCTAGTGGACAGAAACAAAATCAGAAGTAAAAGGGCAATAGAAGGGGGAATTACATACATGAAGCATGATTTTGAAATATTGGTATTTATCATGTATAAAAAAAGCTGATCTTGGCTGGGTGCAGTGGTTCCCACCTGTAATCCCAACACTATGGGAGGCTGCGGTGGGTGGATCACCTGAGGTCAGGAGTTTGAGACAAGCCTGGCCAGCGTGGTGAAACTCTGTCTCTACTAAAAATACAAAAATTAGCCGGGCGCGGTGGCGGGCGCCTGTAATCCCAGCTACTCAGGAGGCTGAGGCAGGAGAATCGCTTGAACCCGGGAGGCGGAGTTTGCAATGAGCCCAGATCACGCCATTGCACTTCAGCCTTGATCACGCCATTGCACTTCAGTCTTGGGCGACAAGAGCGAAACTCCATCTCAAAAAAAAAAAAAAAAGCTTGATCTTAATTTTTGAAAAATTTTTATGAAAATAGAAATGACCCCAAACCAGACAACTTACATTAGAAAAAATGCTGGTAAATAAGCACATTAGAGGTGTACTTTCTTAATAACAACAAAAATGTAAAATAAAGAGGCTTTGGCCTTTGAGTTTTATATTTATGAAATTAGAAAAAAAATCCTGGGGGAGAGTACATTAGATAGCCATAAAGATATTTCCTCAATTTGTTTCTATAATTTCACTTCTCAGGAGATTGCAGGAAAAAGTAAAGTGCTGTATTTGCAATGGTGTTCATTGCAGCTTTAGGTATAGTGGCAAAACTGCTGGGAAAACAACCTAAATGTTTAATAATAGGGAATGAGTTTGGTAAATTATAATAAATAGCATAATGGAATCTTATGTAGCCATTAAAAACCATAATTATAAACACTAGGCAGAAACATGAAAAGTGTTTATTTTATAATGTTAAGCCAAAAGTATGCCATTTAGTATGTTAAACAGAAGTATAACTCTAAAAATATTTTGTATTTATGACAGATACTAGAAGGTATTACTTAAACATTAAAATGGTAGTATTTTGAGGTTAAGATGCATTCATTCCACAAATATTTGTTGAACGCCTATGTTGTACCTCATGGTACTAATGGAGATTAAGTCTAATTTTACCTTTGTTTTAAAATTTTTCAACAGTAATGTTATAGTAACTTTACATTTATAAAATGAATTATAAATTAGGGGCAATAATATGTTAAAATGCTTCCGATTTGTACTCTGCTTGTGATTTTCATCTGCTTACCCCCCATATACATACATTTTGTAGAACATAAAATGGAGCAATTTGTTTTGTTATTATTTGGTGAAAAACACAAATTGTTCCTTTGTTTTCCATTTTATTTACTAATTCATATATTGATATATGCATTGATTATTCTTTAAACAATAATGATTGGGTTGTGTATATCAGTACTTTGATGGGTGCTAGCGGTGCTGAGTCGGACAGATGTCTTGTTCCATTTCGCACTCTGGTATGGTCTTACCACATTGTAGTGCTGTTGTGGATCAGGTTGTTCCATTAAAATGTCATTCTTGCTTTTACCAGAAATGTTATCTTCTGAATGGAAGAAGGATTTAGATAATGAGTATAAAGCATGTATTTTTATATCTTACATATATTTTGTAACTTTAGCTGGAAAAAGAAAAAAGGAATTCTGTTTTTTTAACATGTTAAGAAATCAGAGGTGTTTTTATATTTAGATTCCTTGGGTGGCCTCCAAATTTCTCTTTAAAGAAAGTATTTCACACAAATACAGAGACTACTATAGACCAATATAAGAAATACCTTGAAATGGTGTTTAAATATTAAGAAAGTATAAAACTAATTCTCCATGGAAAACAATTTTTCTGTCTTTGAGCTTTTAGTGCTTTTCTTATGTTGTGGGGGTGGGCAGTATCAACAAGACTCAAGTGGCACGTGGGCTGGTGATTCCGTGTTTATCTACAGACAAATAGGAAATACTGTAGAGGTAGAGAACGCCACGAAGTGGTATTTACATTTTAAGGAAAAGTAAAGTTATCTATGGAAAACTGTTTTTGCCTTTGAGTATTTAATAACTCCCTTTCCCCACCTTTCCCTTTTTGGACAATATTGTTGGTATTGACAAAACTAAAATGGCATGTGAGTCGGTTATTCTGCAATCTTTGTTTCCACGTGCTCTTTAATTTCATCATCTTGAAGTTGTTACAACTATAACATAGTGAAAGGATGACTTTTTAAAAACTTGGATCTGCCAAAATTCCTTCTACTTTTGGATGTTTATAAACTTATTGCTTTAAAAAATGACATTCTGAGCTTTTATTAATATCTAGATATTGGTTTTACTAAATCATCTAAAGATCATTAAATTTAAGTCTTATAGTTATTTATTTTAAAAATTTGAGAATGGTTATAGAAATATAGATCTTCTGTCACCACTTAAAAATTTTAAGGTTAATAGCTTTTAATTATGAATCTTATTACTATGACAGTTTTGTTTGGTTCTTAAGGTATTGTCAACAGAAGTCAGAAACAAAGATTATAATTAATTCAGTCAACAGATAGTTCTTGAATACCTCTTCTGTGCACAGCAATATTCCAGAACAACAGCAGAGATGTAAAAGAGGAGTATCTGTCCTCAGGGAGCTTGTCAGCCACTTAAAATTGTCCCAAATGGGCCAGGAATGGTGGCTCACACCTGTAAGCCCAGCACTTTGGGAGGCTGAGGCAGGTGGATCAACTTGAGGCCAAGAGTTCGAGACTAGCCTGGCCGACATGGGGTGAAACCGTGTCTCTACTAAAAACATAAAAAATTAGCTGGGCGTGGTGGCACATACCTGTAATCCCAGCTATTCAAGAGGCTGAGGCATGAAAATTGCTTGAGCCTGGGAGCTGGAGATGTTGAGATTGTGCCACTGCACTCCATCCAGCTTGAGCAACATAGCAAGACTGTATCAAAAAAAGAAAGGAAAGAAATTGTCACAAATGTTTTTCTTTAGTGCAGTGAGGACAGAAAAACCAAATTCTGCCAAAATATTTAGCGGTTTATTCTGAGTCAGTATGAGTGACCTCGGTCTGGGGATACATAGTCTCAAAAGGTCCTGAGAAAATGTGCCCAAGGCAATTGGGTTACAGTTTGGCTTTATACATTTCAGGAAAGTATGGGAATTGCAGGTAAAATCATAAATCAGTACATGGAAGGTATACATTGATTGGGCCTGAAAATTCTGTACATCTCGAAGCCATGGCTTACATGTCATTGATGGGTTTTAGGGATTCTTTAGGTGGCAATTAGGTAATCTTTGTCACTTGAAGTCAGTATATAGGGATGTTTAAGATCGGGGGTGTCTGCCATCTCTCATGTGATGCTGTACTACAGTCAGATTGGAAAGTAGGCCGCATTATACCAGGTTAGTTTAAAAAAATTATTTAATGAGATTTTATGGTTTGTAGGGTGTGACTCCCCAAGCCTCCTTGGAAAGGATTTGGGGCAAGAGAAAAAAAGGTCAGAGTTCTGTCCTTAGCAGCCTGAGTCTTCATCATTATAATTTCTTTTTGCCATTTTTATTCTGTATCAATAATTTATATTAATATCCTTAACTGGATTAGTACAAACATATGGGTTCTCTGTAGGATGACTTGTTTTAGAACCAACTATGCAGGCAAAACCAGCAGCCTGTAAGAAGCACTAAATCTAACCTTGGGAATTTAGAATACATAAAAAATTTTTGCATGACATCTTTTTCTAAAAAATAGAAGGTCTGTTTATACTAAGCATGAGAATGACTATGATCTATTTACTGGAAAAGGTCTTTATAAAGATCAAGTTAAAATGTTTAGATATTTACCATGTATGCCTGAATTGAGCTGGCTGAAAATATGTTTTTCTAGTATATCTGAAAATAATGCTAATTGAAGTTATACTTTTCTCCTCATTTTTTTGGTTTCATTTTTATTTCTGGCTGGGGTCAGGGTGGTGGGGGAGAATAATAAGCATATGAAAGTAGTGTGTGGCTTGTTTTTAATTTTCATAGCTTTCAAGTAGAGATGCTGATTTTTCAAGTCCATTAGAAGCTCAGCATGGTGTCACCATTTCTTTATAAGTAGTTTGCATATTTAGAGATCTCCCCTGGAGAAAGAGAAGATGGGGAACACAAGGAAAAATAATTAATTATACAGTAAGAGATTTAAGGAACTCTTCTCACATTCATTTCAGAAAAGAGTTGATATTAAGAAGTGGACAGTAATCTGGATGTGTTTTGAGATAATAGAACTGAAAATCTAAGAGTTACTTTAACTGAGCTCTTGGATATCATGATTATATTAACACTAGCTAAAGAATAAAAAATTTTCAGCCTTGAGAGAAAAATAGTATTATAAAAAATCAGAATTCTCTCTTAACTAGTAGCCCCAGCTTCTATTAGTCACATCTTTATCTGAGCTTCAAATTTCTGCAAAGACTGATTTGCTTTCCCTTTGTCAAAAATGGTTTCTACTTTGTATAAAATTCTAATTCTTACTTAGTCACCTCTTGTCTAATCTTGAATAAACAATAGAGGGAACAAATTTGAGAGTATTAAAGATATGGGATAAACAAATGTAAAATAGGAAAGCAATTGAAGAGAAGATCTTCTTCAGTTTTCAGCACAGGGGAGTCTGCTGCTTAGAATTGACTGGGACGTAAGGTGATGTCAGAAGAGTGGAATGATAGTTGTTGAAGACAGCAGTCATCCAAATACTTAAGTTCCTCTCACTCTTCTTCATGATGCCATTTTCCAGATCTTTTCTCTACCTGCTTTCTTAATCTTTCTTTCTTTTTCTACATCTCTCTTGAAAGTGGACACTGCCCCTAGATCTGGCTTACACACCAAAGACTTGACTGCTACGGAGTTTGGAGGCATTTTGAATCATTATACAGTAGATGAATCAGGGGGAGTGGGTAAAAACTTAGGCATTTTTTAATATCAGTTTTGTGTCTTGTATATTAAAATTATATTCAAATATATTGTACATCTGCTTCCCTTTGATGAGTGTTTTTATCTCATCTGCTATTAGCCCTCTGGTCTGGAACTGATTAGCGAAAATTGGTGGGGCCATCTGGAAACATGAGCAACTTGAGTTTCTGCCTGATTTCTAATGCACGTTTTGACTGGTGCTAATTATATGGTCTATTTCATTATTTATTTTCCTGACTGCTTATTGTTAGAAAAGAAAATACTAATCTAAAATGAATTGTTTTCAAAGGCTTTGGATCTGGCTGCCCTCTCCACAGAGCATTCTCAGTACAAGGACTGGTGGTGGAAGGTACAGATTGGAAAATGTTACTACAGGTAAATTTCATTATTTTTGAAGGGCCTAGAAGTGGCCATGTATTTTAGGGTCTCAAATCTGATACTTTTTTGGAGGGTAGTTTTTCCCATGAAGAAACGAGAACTGGGTCTTTGGCTTACTTAATAAAGCGTTTACTTAACAATCACAGGGTAGCAATAAGAATTGATACCTTTAGAATAATAAAACTTTTGAGCTGAGAGAGGGAAGCTTTGAGACCATCAGGCCCAACTCCCCTTTTCACATGAGGAAGCTGAGGCCAAGAGAGTGGTTGTCATTTGCATCAGGAGCTAGTGAGTAACAGACCAGGGACTAGAACCAAGTCTGCTGATTTCTACTTCTGTTCTCTTGGTAATCAAATCTTTTATTTACACCCATGCCTCACATCTGTAAAACACTTCACAGTTAAGAGATACTTTGTTCCTACATTGTACCATTTCACTTAAGTCTCACAGCACCTTGGAGGTAGTGGCTATTGTTAGTCCTTTCTTCAGATGAGAAAAATTGAGCCTCACGAAGATAGAGTGATTTGTCCAAATTCACGTAAACAGTAAGTGGCAGAACAAGAACTTGAGCTCACTTTCTGATGCCAATTATCTTGCTGTTTCCACAATTCCATATTGTTTCTCTAGGACCTTAATATTCTTATATTCTCTTAATGTTTAAATGTATTTTAAAGCAAATTAACTGAAAGATCAGAAGAATCCTAATGAATTTTATGAATATTTATAGAGCAACTAGTAAATAAGATCTGAAACTTGTTGCTGATATTGAAATGCGTATAGAACATTTGGAAAAATAGAAACAAATGAACAATTCTATTTTATAAATATAAATATCTTTTATTATTAAAATAGGGTAGACTTCAGTTACTATGAACACACTTCAATATTTATAAGCTTCAGTTTTCATTCAAGTACTGTGAGAAAAAAGAAGACTATAAATGGGATAAAAAGCATGTTTATTGTTCTGCCATTGAAATTAAGACTACTTTCCATTTAGATATTTCACATAGAACTCTAAAGTGTTTTTTCCTGCTGCTAGATGGAAAAAGTGTTTCCTGCTAAAAGGTAATTTTAGACCATTATATCATTAAACTCTTATGAATGTAATTCCTGGAGACAATCTTGAAATCTTGAGCTGCCAAGCAAAACCTTCAGAAATGCTTGATAATTAAAGGAAAGCAAAACTCTGATTGCTTTTGCCATCCATAAATGATGGCATTTAAATGAATATACCTTGTTGTATTAAATTATCCTTCTTTTCTGTTCTTTAATACCTGCCCATCTTTATGACATATTCAGTATTCTTTCATTTACACATTCATTCACTCAGTAACATATTTAATGCGCAGCTACTCTGCCAGGAACTGTGAGTACAAAGATTAGATTGTCCCTTCTTTCAAATGGTTTACAATAGAATGGAAGAGAGGCCAGTAAATAATTACAGGTTAAGTATTTCTTATCTGAAATGCTTGGGAACAGAAGTGTTTCAGATTTTATGTTTTTTCAGATTTTGGAATATTTGAATATATATAAAATGAGATATCTTGGGGATGGGACCAGGTTTAAAGATGAAATTCATGTATGTTTCATGTAAACCTTATACACATAGGCTGAAGGTAATTTTGTGTAATATTTTATTTTATTTTATTTTTTAGAGATGGGGTCTTGTTCTTTCACCCAGGCCGGAGTGTAGTTGTGTGATTATGGCTAACTGCAGCCTCAATCTCCTAGGCTTAAGCCATCCTTCTGCCTCAGTCTCCCAAGTAGCTGGGATTACAGGCACATGCCACCATATCCAGCTAATTTTTTAAAACTTTCTTTTTTTTATAGAGACAGGTTCTTGCTATGTTGCCCAAGGTGGTCTTGAACCCTGGGCCTCACACCATCCTCCCGCCTTGGCATCCTAAGGTGCTGGGATTATAGGCATGAGCCACTGCATCCAGCCGTACTCCCATCATTATATCCTTTTCAATGAAACCAAATTCAGCATTCCCTAACCTGCTGTGTACTTTACTGCCTATGTACTTATGTTCATGGTTTAATTTTATTTTGGAAATGTCCCTCTTCCCTGCACATCTAGCTGTTGAAATCTTGCCTATTTACTATCTCCCTGAACCTCCTCTGTGCTCTCAAAGCACTTTTTTTCCTGATTGACCATAATATGATTAAATTTATTTGTGAACATGTTTTGTTTCATTCTTTGATTATCATTGCTTTAAGGACATGGTTGTTACTTTCTTCATTTTTCATCTCCTTACCATCATGAAATAAGCATACAGTTGACACTTTACAATTTTGTTAAATTTAAGTTGGAGAGAAAAAGTTGGCAGCTGGACTCTGACTCTTTGATATTGGCTGGTGTTTATGAACTTGACTGATGTTTTTTGCCTTGACTTTCTTTGAACATGGCATGCTCCATTTTCTTTGCACAAGAATTCATGTGGTAGATTGCTTTTTGATAGTATTAGATGAAGTTATCTCTTAAGGCTGTAGTAATAAAAAACATGGTTCTTTGACTTTCATGTAGCTCAATATCTCTGATTATATTTTTATTTTTTAAATTTATCTTTCTATCTCCATTGTTTTTAAAATAATCTATTTCTGTTTTCATATTCTTGTTTTATATGTATCTTTTTATTGTAATCCCTTTTAAATGATTTTTGGAAAGAAACAAGTTAGATAAAAATACACAGACTCTCATGGATACTTTAAATTAATGGAATTTAGTGACTGTATTTCAGTCACGTGTTTAAGACTTGCATGCACGGCCAGGCACGGTGGCTCATGCCTGTAATACCAGCACTTTGGGAGGCCAAGGTTGGAGGATAGCTTGAGCCCAGGAGTTTGCAGGCAGCCTTGGCAACAAGGTGAGACCCTGTCTTTACGAAAACAAAATACAGAAGTTAGCCAGGCCTAGTGGTACATGTCAGTAATCCCAGCTACTTGGGAGGCTGAGGCAGAGGATTGCTTGAGCCCCAGAGGGCAAGGCTGCGGTGTGCTGTGATCCCACCATTGCCCTCCAGCCTGGGCAACAGAGACTATCTCAAAAGAAATAAAAAGATTTTCATGTTCAGTTGATGTTATGTACATAAATATGATAAATATGTTGTTTTTCAGAACTTTAGAGTTCTTTGACCTTTAGCCTTTAACCACTTTCATCCCAAGGCCTCCAGTAGTTATTTGGGCATCAGCCACACCAATGCTTAAGGTTTAAGTTATGAAAAATGATCAAAGCTCTTCTTTCAAGCCTTTAAATGAAAATAGCACAATGGAGCATACTGTCTATCATTTTGATTTTATTTCACAAAATGAAACATTATCGTAGCTGTGTAGCTCTCAGATAGCTAAAAATGAGTGATTATGAGTAAGCCTAACAGATCTATTCAGGACATGAACGAATAGACCTGTTGAAAATTGTGTTTTAATGATTGAATTAGTGGCAACAAATTCTTTCCTGGGTATAAGAGGTAGGCACTACTTACATCAGGACAATCATATTTAGGCAGGGAGCAAATCTCAGATTGATAGACTAGGACAATCAGTATCAGATACCTAATAAGGGAAAACAAGATTTCTAGAATAATAAAATGGCATAACTATATTACCCCAGTGTTAATTATTACTCAGTCAAAATAACTTTTAAAGATAGCTTTTAAAAATGTGCTTTTGTCTCAGAGCAGAAGATGTTTTCAAATAAATGTCATCCTTCAGCTCTTCCAGTAATATGGAGACTCTAAGCATTTATTCAGGTCACTTGCCATATGTCCAGCTGATCATAAGCTCTTTGGGTGGTGAACTGATGTGACCTGGCTTGCTAGCAGCTATTATCTTAGTCCTGCTGTGACTAGGCTTCAGACAGACTCCTTACATACCATTTGGGGGTTAGAAGCCAGTGAATATGGGAGATAGGCAACTTATTGCTAAACTGTAGAAATAAACATGTTAATTTATGTGTATGTGCAACATTACCTTCCTTGGTATGTGCTTCCTCTTATAATTTGTCTCTATTCATCCTCAGGGTGTGATCTAGTGTTTATTTTTAAGTTGAATGTCTAATTCTTAAAATTGCTATTTGTAGGTTGGGAATGTATCGTGAAGCAGAAAAACAGTTTAAATCAGCCCTGAAGCAGCAGGAAATGGTAGATACATTTCTGTACTTGGCAAAAGTAAGTAAATCTTAATTTGAGTGAAATCTGCCTTCTCAGAATAAATGTTTAAATTCTGGCCATTGCATGAGGAGAGTAAACAGCTTCTTCAGGAATATTTGGCAAGTTACTATGTTTAGATTTAACTTGTTTTTCTTTAGAGCAAGGGAAAAAATGAGAACATATGGAGGGTAACTGTCTCATAAGAAATTAATTGTCATGAAAAATAAGAAGACCCATTTGAAAGATTGCCCATTAAGACAGGAGAAAATACCATAGGCTCACTACTCGCACAGATAACAGGCCCCAGTGAGGCCTTATTTTCTACAGTACATTTGTATCCCACTTGAGCACGTAGTAGAGAACAGGGACTGTGTTTACGTAGGTTCCTAGTTACTCGGCTGAGGCATAATAATAAAAATAATACTTCTCCTTTATTGATCACCTACTCAGTGTAAAACACTTTATCATGTTCATTATATATGCAGTTTAATTTAACCCTCACAATAACCCTGCAAAGGTGAGTTTTATCATTTCCTTTGTACTCGTAAGGAAAATTAAATTTAAAGAGGGGTAAGTTTTTCAGGGTCACTTGGTGGTTAGGAGTTAGCATTCGGATCCAGGTCTTTCTGACTCCAGACCTATTCACTGCTGCAGTGCCATCTGCAGCCCTACAGCAGAAATGATGGGGCCACCTAGAATTTTCTTGCATTTTTTTTTTTTTTTTTTGAGATGGAGTCTTGCTCTGTTGCCCAGGCTGGAATACAGTGGCATGATCTCAGCTCACTATAACCTCTGCCTCCTGGATTCCAGTGATTCTCCTGCCTCAGCCTCCCAAGTAGCTGGAATTACAGGTGCACGTCACCATGCCCAGCTAATTTTTGTATTTTTAGTAGAGGTGGGGTTTCACCATGCTGGCCAGGCTGGTCTTGAGCTGCCGGCCTCAAGTGATCTGCATGCCTCGGCCTCTTAAAGTGCTGTGATTACAGGTGGGAGCCACCATGCCTGGCCAGAATTTTCAATAGTGGGGTAAAGTTACCTCTTGACCCTCACTGAGGCTATTTTGAAAGAAAAACACAAGTGGTGGTGATGACATGATTTTGCTTTATCTGTTAGAGTTTCTTAAATTAAAAAATGTGGTAAAGGAGATTCAAAAGAAGATGAGATATAAAAGGAAGTGCTACTAGTTCCTAAATATGGGAATAAAAATTAACATATGAAGAAGAAGCAAAATGAAAGTTATATAAATTTACCGTGCTAGTCTTAGTATGTTTTAATGACTTTCAAAAATGTTTGAAACTATCTGGTATCTAACTTTATCTTCTATATATGATATATTCAACTTAAACAATTTCTTTTTTTCTGAGTTAGGGTCTCACTCTGTCACCCAGGCTGGAGCGCAGTGGCATTATCACAACTCACTGCAGCCTTGACTTCCCATGTTCAGGCGATCCTCCCATCTCAGCCTCCTGAGTAGCTGGGACCACAGGTCACTGTGCCTGGATAATTTTTTTTTTTTTGGTAGAGATGGAATCTTGCTGTGTTGCACAGGCTGGTCTCCAACTCCTGGCCTCAAGCGATCCTCTAGTCTCAGCCTCCCAAAGTGCTGGGATTACAGGTGTAAGCCATCATGCCCAGCCTACACTTAAAGTCTTAAAGAAGTTTCTAGGCATCATAGTAAACTTTTTGGAAAGAACTAGAAATTAAGGCTGAAGTCATACTATTTGACTGTCATCTTAATTGATAATCACTTACTATGTCATTGAAAAAATATGCTTTTTATTTAACTCTTGTTAAATATATGACTTCACCTGTTTTTCCATAAATTGATTTGTTTAAATCTATTATTCCCTACACAACTATATAAAGGTAAAATATACAGTTTTTCTTTAATGTATGAATGGATGGTTATTATGTGATAGAGATCAAGCAGATTTTAGTTTTGTCACAATGACACATGCATGCGTATGTTCATTGCAGCACTATTCGCAATAGCAAAGACATAGAATTAACTTAAATGCCCATCAATGACAGACTGGATAACGAAAATGTGGTACATATACACTGGAATACTATGCAGCCATGAAAAAGAATGAGAGCATGTCCTTTGAAGGAACATGGACGGAGCTGGAGGCCATTATCCTCAGCAAGCTAACGCAGGAACAGAAAACCAAATACCTCATGTTCTCACTTATAAGTGGGAGCTAACTGATGAGAACACATGGACACATAGAGGGGAGCAACAGACACTGGGGCCTCTGAGAGGGTGTAAGGAGGGAGAGGAGCAGAAAAAATGACTGAGTATTAGGCTTAATTCCTGGGTGATGAAATAATCTGTACAACAAACTCCCCATGATATGAGTTTACCTATATAACAAACCTGCACATGTACCCTGAAATTAAAAGTTAAAAAGTGAAAGAGCTCTGGCATGGTGACTTGTGCCTATAATCCCTGGACTTTGTGAGGCTGAGGCTGGAGCATTGCTTGAGTCCTGGAGTTTGAGACCAGCCTGGGCAACATAGTGAGACCCATCTCTTTAAAAAAGAAATGTGTATATATATGTGTGTATATATTTTTATATATTAATACAATATATTTAATTTATATAAAATATATAAAATTATATAATTATAAATATATAAAAATAATATACATATATAATCATATAGATAAATATGTAATATATAATATAATAAATATATAATATAATATAAATATATATTATAACTATATAGTAATATAATATAAATATTTTTATATAATATATATTTACATATGTTATATATACACAAAGGAAAGAGATCAAGCAGATTTTAAGAACATTGTTTTTTAAAGTTCTTAATTGTTAATTTAAAAATTAAACCTTTTAGATTATGTAAATACTAATTATATATTATTTGTTATATTTTTAAAGTATAGAACTTGTACAGTTCAAAAGTGTATAAGTAAAAACTGAAAAGTTATTATCCGTACCTCTCTCTCTAATCTCAAACTTTAATGATAAATACTTTAGTTTTCTGTTGCATCCCTTTGGATTTTTTCTCAAAACACACTCTTACTGTTTAGAAAGTGGATCCGAAAATCATGAAAAAAGTGTCATAATCTTATGTTGTCATACGTAAAATAGTAATACTGTTTTAGAAATTCCTATTAAGTATATGGTTTATTCCTGCTAATGTTCTAATTGCTAATGAAGTGGAAGCCATTATGTGCTAACTTGCTTAACTCCCTGACCTCATGAACCTGTGTCCTCTCTTGTTTTGGAGGGGCCTGTCCACTGCCTGTCTCTCTCAGGCCTTGTTCCATGGGTCGTCTCCTCTTTATTCAGCATCTTTAACCTCAGTCTCCTAATTGGTTTCTTAATGCCAGCCTATAGCATACTCATGTCTGTTCTATCCTAAAAAGGTTTTCCCTCGATTCTTTCTTGTTTAGTTACTATTGCCAGTCTCTGGCATAGTAAGCTCACAGTAAGCATTTGTTAGAGAATAAATGAATGAATGCTTTATATATAACATGTGGAGATAAAACTATAACATCATTATTGAAAATTAATGCTGCACATTTTTGAAAATTCATTCATTCTTCTTCTTCTTCTCCTTCTTCTGCTTCTGCTTCTGCTTCTGCTTCTTTTCTTTTTAAAGACAGGATTTCACTCTGTTACCCAGGCTGGAGTGCAGTGGTGCAATCATGGCTCACTGCAGCCTTGATCTCCCAGGCTCCAGTGATCCTCCCATCTCAGCCTCCAAATAGCTGGGACTACAGGAACACACCAACATGCCCAGCTAATTTTTGTATTTTTTGTAGAGATGGGGTTTCACCGTGTTGCCCAGGCTGGTCTTGAACTTCTTCTGTTCTCAAGCAATCCAACCACCTCAGCCTCCTAAAATGCTGGGATTACAGGTGTGAGCCACCATGCCCAACTGAAAATTCTTTACTGTAGTATCTAGGAGATAATTTGTTACTAATCAATAATTATAAATGTCATAACAAATATTATTTTAAGAATCTATACTTTTATTGAAATGTATCTTGTTTTTAGGTTTATGTCTCATTGGATCAACCTGTGACTGCTTTAAATCTTTTCAAACAAGGCTTAGATAAGTTTCCAGGAGAAGTAACCCTGCTCTGTGGAATTGCAAGAATCTATGAGGTAATTCATGTTATTATTTTTTTTTATTGATACACCATAGTTGTACATATTTTTGTGGTATATGTATATTTTAATTCCTGTATACAATGTGTAATGATCAAATCAGGGTAATTGAGTTATCTGTCACCTCAAACATTTATCTTTTCTTTGTGTTGGGAACATTACAATTCTTCTTTTCTAGCTATTTTGAAATATAAGGTAAATTATTGTTAACCATAATTTCCCTACTGTACTATCAAATAGTAGAACTTATTCTTTCTGTCTAAATATTTTTGTACCCCTTAAGCAACTTCTCTTCATCCTCCAGTCTCCCCACACCCTTCCTAGCCTCCAGTAACCATAATTTTACTTTTTACCTCCATGAGATTCACTTTTTTAGCTACTGCATGAGTGAGAACATGTGGCACTTTTCTTTCTGTGCCTGGCTTATTTCACTTAACATAATGACTTCCAATTCCATTCATGTTCCTGCAAATGACAGGATTTTACCCTTTTTTATGGCTCAATATTACTTTATTGTGTCTATATACCACATTTTCTTTCCATTCATCCACTGATGGGCACTCAGGTTGATTCCACATCTTGGCTATTGTGAATAGTGCTGCAATAAACATGGGATATCTCTTTGATATACAGACTTCCTTTCTTTTGGATATATATTCATCAGTGGGATTGCTGGATCATATGGTAGGTCTATTTTGAGTTTTTTTGTGGAAACTCCATACTGTTTTCCATAACAACTATACTACTTTGCATTCCCATCAACGGTGTATGGGCATTCATTCCCCTGCCTTCACATCCTTGCCAGCATTAGTTATTTTTTGTCTTTTTGATGATAGCCCTTCTAACTGAGGTGAGATGATATTTCATTGTGGTTTTGATTTACATTTCCCTGATGATTAGTGATGTTGAGCATGTTTTCATATACCCTGTGGCCATTTGTATGTCTTCTTTTGAGAAATGTCTATTCAAGTCTTTTGTCCATGTTTAAATTGGATTGCTTGTTTTCTTGTTGAGTTATTTGAGTTCTATATTCTGGTAATTAATCCCTTCTTAGATGGCGTAGTAGGTGATTCTTGCATTGCTATAACATTGGTATAAGAATGGACAAACAGTCCAATGGAACAGAATAGAAAGCCCCAAAATGTATCTACCACAAATGGACAAAAATTGATACTGACATTACATTACATACTCTTTCTCTTTCTCTTTCTCTTTCTCTTTCTCTCTCTCTCTATATATATATGTGTGTATATATATATATATATATATATATTTAGAGATGGGTTCTCACTCTGTTGCCCGGGATAGATCACAGTGGCGTAATCATAACTGACTGCAGCCTCCAAATTCCTAGGCTCCAGTGATCCTCCTATGTCAGCCTCCTGGGTAGCTGGGACTACAGGCTTGTGCCCCCATGTCCAGCTAATTTTTTTTTTTTTTTTTTACTGTTTGCAGAAATGAGGTCTTACTTTGTTGATCAGGCTGGTCTCGAACTCCTGGCTTCATGCTTATAAATTTTAGTCATGTCATCAAATTCCATGAAAAGTACCATTGAGATTTCTTCGCTGCTGTCTAATTACTATAGTTTTACAATAATTCATGATATCAGGTTGGGCAAATCCTACCACCTTGTTCTTCTTGTTTACAGTTGGTTTTCCTGGCCCTTTGCTCTTCCATAGTGATTGTAGGATTGGCCTATCAAAAACCATACAAATCCCTGGAGGCGTGTTGATTGGAATTACATTGAGTGTATGAATGATGGGGAGTGGGTGAGTGGGCTACCTTTCTTCCCATTCTCAATCATGATATAACTCTCCATTTACTTAGGTCTTTTTTTGTTCTTCAGTGAATATTTTGTAATTATCTCCAGAAAGGTGGTGTGTTGGGGGTCCCCCAGACCACGCTTTCATTGATTTACTGGGACTGACAGGACTCAGATTTATTTCAGCAAAAGGATACAAAGTAAAATTAGTAAAAAGAAACAGCTCTTGGGGTAAAGTTCAGAGGAAACCAGGTACAAGCTTCGAAGAGCTCCCTCCCGGTGGAGTTACACAGGACACACTTAATTCTTCCAGCAGCGAGTTGTGACAACTCATGAGAAGTGATGTCTACCAGGGAAGCTCATTAGAGACTCTGTATCCATGGTTACTATTGGATGCTGGTCATATAATCACACACTGTTTATCACACAGCAAACACTCCCAGAAGTAAACAGGCATTCAGCACAAACCACACTGTTTATGCAAACAGGTTAGGTGTAGCAAGCTACGCTTATGATTTGGGGAAAGTTTCATATCAGTGTAGAGAACCAGTCAAATTCCCAGATACAGGCCTTTCTAAGAATAGTGGTCTCAGGCCTGCTATGTTAACTTTTTTCTATGCAGGTGTATTTCTAGGTATAACTATGAATGGAATCCTTATTTTTTTTCTCTCTTGTATTTTCTATTTGATTATTTCTGGTGGATAGGAATGTATTACTTTTTAAACATTTTTTTGATACTAGCAACTCTTTAAATTTTAAGATCTTGTTCATAGGTCCTCTTGGATATTCTAAGTAAATAAAACAATCATCATTTGCAAATACAGGTAGTTTCATCTCTTCCCTTCAATTATTTTACCATTTTAAAAATGTGTCTTATTGCTTAGGACTTCTAATATATCTTTGAACAGACACATCTCTGTTTCCTTGAAATTCCTTGAAAATGCTAGGTATGATATTTTGAAATCATTTTCTTAGAAAAGAATGGAATATATTAATAGCTGCTATACCTAGGTGATAGTGTATGAATGATTTTTGTATACTTTCTGTATTTTCCAGATTTTCCATAATAAGCATGCATTACTTTTTAAATAAAAGTATTTTAACGTTGTCAAGAAAAACTATGATTTCCTTTTGAAATGTAATTTTTATAAATGTATAAATAGAAGACTTTGATAAATCAATAAAAATACTCTGGACTCTAAATTGAGTATGAATAAAACTTTGACCAACAAGCTAAACCAGTGGAATTCATGCTTGTTCTGGTGGTGACTATGCCAGTGCAATTGGAGCTCTGACCTTTAGGCCCTTGCCTTCTGCTCATTTCTGCCCTTTTGCCCTTCTCTTCTTAGGCAGGAAGTGCTAGCAGAAAGAGCTAGAGAACTATCCCATCTTTATTGCATGGTTGCTGGTCAGAAGAATTCCTTCCAAGCCTCTGTTACAGTCACTGTTGCTGTGGCTGTGATATGGAGTAGCTCTGGAGTGGATTCCTTTTCTCAACCTTTCCCTGCTCTAAGTTGACTGTACACTTGAAGGAAGAAAGGAGTGGAGAGGACAGCCTCTCAGTTGTAGGGAAAATCATGCACAAATAGAGTGATCAAAGACTAAGCACAGACTTGAAATAGTTGGTGGCAGTATTTCAGTCTTTTGCCTTGAATTTGCATAGTTAATTTCCCTTATGTCAAAGTTTAGCACACCAAAGTCAGATTTCCAGTGTATTCTTTTTCTGTTTATGTGACAATAGATGTTCAGTTAATCAGTAAATTGGTTTTAGCATTGCAGCCTGCACTGTGTATGCCTGTAGGGTTTTTGTTATATACATCATGCTTGTCCCTGGCTGGAGGGATTCCATTCCTCTATGTTCTCTTCTTTTTATGTATCTTTCATTGTTGCAGATATCTTTTAAATATTGTCTATTTTAGGATGAATATGTTGAACTGCTTATTTTTCATTGTTTGTTTAAAATGATTTATCCTTGCCAGATTTCTTTGTTGGTTGTTTCAGTTTTTCTTGAGGTATTTTGTTTATTCATTTGAAAGACAGATCTTAATTTTAGCCGTTCTTTGTTGAAAGGCATTTGCAATTATAAGGCATAAGGCAATTGCATAACCTTACCCTGGAAATGTTATTCTAGGGGTCTTCAAACCTTACTGTGTATGAAATGACCTTGGGAGTGGACGGGAAGCATGACCCATCCTCTTCCTCTGAATCAGAAGTCCTGGAAGCTGGGACTCAGGCATCTGGATTTTTAGCAAGCTCACTAGGTGATGCAAAACAAGATTTGAAAACTACGGCAGCATTCATTTTTTGCAGTTATTTAATTTTATTTTAATCCCAGCACTTTGGGAGGCTGAGGTGGGTGGATCACCTGAGGTTGGGAGTTCGAGACCAACCTGACCAAAATGGAGAAACCTTGTCTCTGCTAAAATTACAAAATTAGCCTGGCTTGGTGGTACATGCCTGTAATCCCAGCTACTTGGGAGACTGAGGCAGGAGAATTGCTTGAACCCAGGAAGTGGAGGTTGCAGTGAGCCAAGATCACGCCATTGCACTCCATTCTGGGCAACAAGAGGGAAACTCCATCTCAAAAATAATAATAATAATAATTTAAAAATCTAATTATAGATTTTGTATCTACAGTTTGTGAATTGGATAAAAAATAACCACTGTAAAAATCACTTGATACCAAATTTATTATATTCTTGAAGTGGCATTTATATACTTGAAAATGTTATTTTAAGTCTACATTAATAAAATCTATTCTAGAACTAGTAAAATTTAAACAAATCTGATAAAGGAATAAAGAAACAAAATAGACCGGCTGTGGTGGCTCACACCTGTAATCCCAGCACTTTGGGAGGCCGAGGCGGGCGGATCACGAGGTCAGGAGATCGAGACCATCCTGGCTAACGCAGTGAAACCCCGTCTCTACTAAAAATACAAAAAATTAGCTGGGCGTGGTGGCGGGCACCTGTAGTCCCAGCTACACGGGAGGCTGAGGCAGGAGAATGATGTGAACCCAGGAGGTGGAGCTGGCAGTGAGCCGAGATTGTGCCACTGCACTCCAGCCTGGGCGACAGAGTGAGACTCTGTCTCAAAAAAACAAAAAAGTAAAGAAACAATATAGAATCAATGTGTGTTCATATATATGAAAATTTAAGATGTGATAAAGATGGCCTATTAAGCCGATTGCATTAGTTGGTTATTTAATAAATAGTTTAAAAATAGAGCTGGTTGAGTAATGATTTATACTATTCATTACTGCCAGATTTAAAACTTTAAAGATTTAAAACTTCAAAAAATGAAACCCTGAAAGTTCCAGAAGTAAACACAGATGAATTATTTGTATAAATTGGAATGAGGAAGATTTTTCTAATCATGACACAAAGTTAGAAAGCCATAATGGCAAAGATTGATAAATATGAGAATGTAAAAGTTAAATTTTCTATATGGCAAAAACAAAAAATAGAAACCAAATCCATATACAACAAAACAAAAGGTAAAAATACCAAACAGGGAAAATAATTGGCATACCTGGGACAGACAAAAGACTGCTTTTGATTTCCTCAAACTACACATTGCTTAAAAATTGCTAAAATTGGGAGATTTAAACACACACACACAAATTCTCATCTATTTAGTCAAGAATGTAAACATGGAAACGAGGTATTTCCATGTCATGGTGTGGCTTTTCCTTAGGCTCTTGTTTCCTTTCAGCCTACACAGTGGCCATTCACCCTCTCCATGAAAGTAAGATCACCACAGAGATGAGACAACAACCAAGTTCCAGCTGCGTTGACTAAACTGCCCCCGTTTAGTACTTAGGGCTTGGTGACACCTATTTGGAAGAACTTAATTAAGCCATCTAAACTTTTCCTCTGAAGAGAATGTTTATAAACAGTGAGCCTTCCTGTGTTTTTGAACTATGGTCAACGTCAACACAGGCTCTTTTCATCTGGAATAGAACACAGTCAATGCCCAGGGATTCTTGAGCCACACCTCAGCCTCCAGCTCTCCTGTGTCCCGGAGGGCAGTGTTCCACGCAAGACTCCCACACACACAATAGTGGAAGGACAAAAGATAGGATAGGATAGAAGAACAGACAAAAGATAGGAATTGGCAGCTCACAGAAAGAGAAATATAAAGAATATCTGATGTGTTAAATGCCTAACCTCTCATAATTAAAGATATAAAAAGCTAAAACAACTGTGATAAGCCATTTTTCACTCAATCAGATTAGCAAAGATCTTAGTTCTATGTTATCTAGGGTTGCCAAGGGTGTAGAGAAACAAGCTCCATGTATGAACATTTGGAAGCTTTTTGCAGTTATTGATGATATTTTAAAATGTGCATGCTCTTTGACCTGGCGGTATTACTTCTAGGAATTTTCCTTAAGGCTATTTTCATACAAGTGCACAAAGACCTGAACAAAGATGTTTTTATAGTATGTTTTTTGGTTTAAAAAAGGAAACATATGCTTAATCAAAAAGGGACTGGTTTAATAAATTATGATCTCTATTGATGGAACACTATGCAGAAGTATTATTTAAAAATATGAAGTAAAGCTTTTGGTTTTGATATGGAAAGAGTCAAGACACTGAGTGAAAAAATAAACTGTATATTGAAATGTATAGAATGATTCTGTTTATGGTTAAAATATGCACACCCATGTATATGCTTAAGTATGAACAAAATTTCCTGAACAATACTAAAAAAACTATTAACAGAGCCTCTGCCTACTGGAATTTGGGGACAGGGCATTTACTTTTAATTTTGTACCCTTTTGTAAGGTTTACATTTATTTAGCATAAGCACATATTTTATAAGTTTATAAAACTTAATTGAAAAACTACATATGAGGTTGTCTGTACAATAGGTGTTTCAGTCTAAAATTCCTCGAGATTACATAAATCAATTTCTGTGTCCATTAATTAAGTATACAAGTATTCAAAAGTAATCTTATAGGACCCAAAGTCTTGAACCAACTGGCTTATTGAGGCTTGAGCCTTCTTTGCATTGGGCATTGCCACCTTTGGAAGCTGTAGCACTGAAGCCTAGCACTGTGGGATGCTGTTGGCTTTGAAAAAGAATTTCAAATATAAAGCACATGAAGAAATATCTATAAAGCATAGATTTGGGTCAACTGGTGAATGTTTTATTAGGGTTTTATGGGACTGATAAGTTACATCCCTGTTCCTCCATGTTGAGAACCAACCGAGAGAGAGAGAGACAAGATTTAGACAAATGGAGGCCAAACCGTTAGCTTGATTATAGATAAAAGCACAAGTGGAGCTTTTGGCTTTAGATCTATGCTCAAAAGGACTTAACGGCCTTTTCTCTCTGGGTTAAACAGACTAACCTACTCTGTCACAAACATGGTTGTACAACCCACAGACTTTCTCCACTCAGAAGAGCTTCTTATTTTTCATAAAAATGTTATATATGTGAATATGTAGTAGGTTTAATGTATGTTATTTAGAATGAATTAATAAGTAAATGTTTAAAGATATCTCAGTTGCAATTTCTAGTATTAATCTATATAACTTACGTAAACAAAACTTCTTCTTCTCAGCAATTTTTAACAGTTTAAAATGAATCTTAGACCAACATGTTTGAGAACCTCTGTTCTAATGGAAACATGGGAAGCTAAGAACATTTTTAAGAGTTGTTTAATTCTTGTTTATTAATTTTTCACTTTCCAGAACACTAAATTTTGTGCTAAGAAATGGCACGCGATACGATCTTGCTCTAAAGGAATTTACCATATTTCATGGACTCAGATTGTTTTTCACATTTTAACATCTCTGAACTTGAGGTACATCTTAAAATGGGTAGCGTCTTTCTATTTTTGTGGCCAAGTGGCAGTTGCCATGTAGTTGTCATAGTCTGCTTATATGGAAACTTGGGTAATTACTCTTGGGAGCATGGTGAACCTGGTAATTATTACTGATTGTTGCCTGAAAGCTTTTGTTGACACCTGCTGGTAAAATCAAGAAAACACAGGTATCAGCATAGCAGAATGACTGTCCATAGCTTGGAAGAAAATCTTGGAGACAATAGTGGAGCACTTTTAAGAAGTATTAAAAGTGGATTTTAAATGTTCTTACCACAAAGAAATAAGTATATGAGGCTATATATATGTTAATTAGACTGATTTTCTCATTCCACAATGTATGTATGTTTCAAGACATCACATTGTATCCCGTAAATGTATACAATTGCTGTTTGTCAAATATAAAGAAATGCTGTGTCATCATTGCATAGAACAATACTGTGTGGAAACACCTGGCCATTGATGACCAAATCAAAAAGGGATTCAGAAGAATTTGATACTTCTTGTGAAAGAGGAATACTATATTTAATTTATTTTGCTTATGTATATGTACTTTATATAAAGTATGCAAAAGAGTGATCTGTGATACAATCTGTGTATGAATATGTCTAAATATATCAGTAAGGATCAAATAAAAATTCTGTTTAAAAAAGCACTGTGTGGTGCTTCTTACAATCAGTAGAGTCTCTTATTTGATATGATTAAAATTTAACAAAAAGTTTGAGTCCTTCTCTAATGAGAACAAGTTCACATAATAAACGCCATGGAAGTTGAGAGGTAGAAGACAGCTATGTGAAGTGAAGGCATTAGGGAAATCTTTGTGAAGGATATGGAGCCTGAACTGGGCCTTGAAGGTAGATTTGAGAAATATAACATTCATTGATAACATTAGATGCATATATTTATGATTATCAGTATTTTAGAAAGAATATATAATAACTGTAGAAGGTTTATTTAGTTTTTCATTTTGTATGTATTTCTAAGCTTGGTCTTGGTTGCCGTCTTTTCTTTCCTGGACTCTTGATCTTCCTGCTACCACGCTTTCCTATTTTGGTATGTCTAGCATGCAGCAGTCAAGTTATTCTTTCAAAATGCAAATATGATTGTTATTCCTCTCCTGATGGATTTCTCTCAACTAGAAAAAAAATCTGAAGGTCTCACCCTGGCTGATAAAGGCCCTGGCTGCCTCTCATTGCCTTTTGCGCCACTTTCCCTTTTTCCAGCCTCATTTACCTTCGTGTGGTTCTTCATATGTGACAAGTACATTCCCCTCTCAGGCTCATACCTTTGCTCTTCCCTCTGCCCAGGGTGAGCTTCCCCCAGATGTGCTCAGGACTTGATCCTTCACTTCTGTCAGGTCTCTTCAAATAGCACCTTCTCCGAAGTGGCCCCTTCCATCACCCCTTCTGAAGCACACCCTCCCTGCTCTCTCTCTCTCCTTATCCTGCTCTGTTTTTCTTCACAGCACTTAACCTTCTATTACATATTTGTTTGCCTTTCATACCAAATGTCACCTCCTTGAGGACAGCGACTTTCTCTTTTTGTTCATAATGTATCCCCAGGGCCTAGAATGGAGTCTGGCACATGGTAGCCTCTCAATAAATACTTATTTAATGAATGGACTTAAATCAGTCAGAAAAAAATAATTTCTTGTCCAGTATTAATAAAATATTGCTCTTCTTCCTTGATGGAGAATAGGAAATGAACAATATGTCATCAGCAGCCGAATACTACAAAGAAGTTTTGAAACAAGACAATACTCATGTGGAAGCCATCGCATGCATTGGAAGCAACCACTTCTATTCTGATCAGCCAGAAATAGCTCTCCGGTTTTACAGGTGCACTTCACATCCAATTCGTAGAACTACTTTCCTATGAAATATTGATAAAATAGTAACAAAGATGAAATGAAAGTATAGAGAAAATAAGATATAGGCTATTTCTTTATGAAACTAAAATTTCAACACCAAGATATATTATGAGCATTAAAGTGACATCCAATAATTTGGAAACATGCAGATGTCTGGCATCTTGCAGAAACACGCTGGACAACTGACTGAGTTTTAAACCCCATTGTCATTGTATGCGTTAGCCAGTTTGTCATCAACCAGTAACAGTTTAATAGTCACTTAAAACTTACAATCATCACTGCCTCCGTTAATACCAGTAAACATAAAGACATTGAAATTGAAAGGTGAAAAGATTTGCAAAGAACATTTGGCCCCATGTTCTGAACCTTGATGAGGACCTGAAACAGAATCACCTGTTTTGGGCAGCATTGTCAATTCTTGTCCAAATATTTTTTCAGTCTAAATAAATTATATTCACTGATTCTTCTTTAAGTATTTATTTCATTCTACATATGACTTCTGAAATTAATTTTTAAATTTTGATTTCTTCTTTAGCCCTTGGGTAATATACAAAGAGATGACTGACAGCTGACAAGGGTTCTTTCCAAATAAGTGTTGGGGGTATAAAATGTAATAATAAGAACGCTATTCTGTGCACCTGCAGCTGACTCTACTCCCCAGCCCCCAAAGTGGGCCATAGGTTTCTCACAGCAGCTGGGCTGGATTTTCATTTGCTTATATGAACTCTCTTGTCCTTTGTCCCACAGGATTAATGATGCATAGAAGCAAATGGGGCTCTTGAGCTGCAGTGTGAAAGCTAAGTGGATAATGTGAGGATCCACTGATGGTTTTGTCTTCCTCAGTGGAAGCTTGTTGGAGTTCAGTAGACACAGCTGAAGCACAAAGTACGGAGAGCCAAAAACGGGTTCCAACTCAGCTGAAAATGTAGAGGTTAATGCTAAACACAGTCCTCAGATTGAGTTTTAGGAATTTACCCTATGGGCAGCAAAGCTTTATAAAGCTGAAGTGTGTGGGCTTTACTTTTTGTGACTATTTCTTATTTTGGTTCTCTAACAAAGCATTTGGGGAGAAAACTTAGATCAGTTGTTTTTCTTTGTCTCTAGACACATTCCCCGTGACTAGTACCATTATAAAAGAGAGCTATTTGTATTTGCTTTAAACATTTTTTCATTTACTATAACACGTTGTATTTATAATCTTAAGGAGTATCAAAAATCACAAGATGAATTCATTTTTAACTATGTAAAAAAATATATATATATATATGTCTTAAAACTTACAAAGTTGGTCTGACACCAAAATTTTTGTGTTCTTTTTTGAAAAGGCGACTGCTGCAGATGGGCATTTATAACGGCCAGCTTTTTAACAATCTGGGGCTGTGTTGCTTCTATGCCCAGCAGTATGATATGACTCTGACCTCATTTGAACGTGCCCTTTCTTTGGCTGAAAATGAAGAAGAGGCAGCTGATGTCTGGTACAACTTGGGACATGTAGCTGTGGTATGTTGTCTTTCTGATATAATTTCTGTTATAGAAAGTTGGTTTGAGCCAGACACAGTGGCTCATGCCTGTATTTCCAGCATTTTGGGAGGCTGAAGCAGGAGGATTGCTTGAGCCCAGGAGTTCGAGACCACCCTGGGCAACAAGTGGGACTCTGTCTCTACAAAACATTAAAAAATTAGCTGGGTGTGGTAGTGCACATCTGTAATCCCAGCTACTCTGAGGGCTGAGGCAGGAAGATCACTTGGGCCTAGAAGGTCAAGGCTGCAGTGAGCTATGATCGTAGCACTGCACTCCAGCCTGGGTGACAAAGTGTGAGACCCTGTCTCAAAACAAACAAAAAAATTAGTTTGAAGAAATATTCAGGAATTATCCTAAATCCAGATTGGTTGTAGTCTTATGGGGAAATTTAGAAGTTTCTAGGAGTCATTGTGGCTTATTTTATATTCTTGGGTTAAATCCATTTATATAGAATTCACGTTGACTTCTATAATTGTATGGCACTTGATGCTTTTTGTCTGGTAGCAGAAGAGATATCTATGAGGAAAGAAGGGAGGAGGAAGTAAACGGACCGATGGGTGTGAACATGGACTTTCTTTTGTAGGGAATAGGAGATACCAATTTGGCCCATCAGTGCTTCAGGCTGGCTCTGGTCAACAACAACCACCACGCTGAGGCCTACAACAACCTGGCCGTGCTGGAGATGCGGAAGGGCCACGTTGAACAGGTCAGTGAACTGGCAGCAGCTCGCTGGGCAGTCTGCTTTCTTCAGAGAAAAGCTGTCATGTGTGGTAGCGTTACAGCGTATGTTATTTTAAAATGAGCTCTAGAATCTGACAGGCGTGGATTTGAATCCCAGCTCTGTTGCGTATTAGCTGTGTGACCTTGGGACAAGTTACTTAACCATTCTGAGTCCAAAATAGAATGTTTGATTTTATTAGGACAAATCTGCGCCTCCCCAGTCTTCCCTATCTTAGTGAACTGTTCTACCAGTCACCATTCCCTGTCTACTACATAATCGCTCAAGCCAAAATCCTTGGCGCCACCCCTGAAACCTCTCTTTTTTTATTGCTTCCCCCTGCCACACCTGCGCCCACATCATATTCAGCAAGCCCTGTCATTCTGACCTCAGAGTCCCATCACATTCTGAGCCTGGCCACCTTTCTCCATTCCCACAACCCTTCTTCAGACTGCTGTTATCTCTTGCGTGGACTACTATGAGAGCCTCCTAGCTGGTGTTTTGGTTTCCACCTACATCAGCAAGTAAGTGCACTCTATGATACACTCTTCTCAGAACAGCCTGAGAGATTTTTTTTTAAATGAAGACTGTTTAATACTACTTTGCTTAAAATCCTCTAGTGCCTTCTCCTTGAACTTGGAATAAAATCTGGACTTGAAACCATGTCTATGGCCTGAGGCCCCAGGTGACCCGGCCTCTGGCTCCCTCTCAGACCGCATCTTTTGCCACTACTTCTTTCCCACTGACTTGCAGACACGTCGCTACCTTGCTGCTCCGCAGACAGACAGTGCTCTGTCTTCCTTTAGGGCCTTTGGAGTGTTCTTCCTTAAGATCTTACAATGACAAATTTCTTTCTTGTCATTCAGGTCTTAGATTAAATGCCACCTCCTTAGAAAGGTCATCTTCCCCATCAGTCTAAAAGAGCCCTTGGGTGCTATCACATCTCTTACTTTTTTTCTTCACAGTATTTACCACTTTATCAGATATTTTCATATTTATGTGTAGGATGTAGAATGTCAGTTGCATGAAAAGAGTGACCATATCTGTCATGTAACTGTTATATTCCCAGCATCAGAAACAGTACCTGCCACATGGTAGGTGCTCAGTCAATATTTGTGGAATGAATGGACGATACATAAAATAGAGTGTAATAGTAGTGACTTGAAGGGATTATTTGTATTAGTTCATGCACTTGGCATAGTAGAAGCATAGTATGGAGCACATGGTAGATGCTTAATAAATTGTGTTATTATAATGATATACGTAAAACAAAAAGTTTAAAATACTAAATATGTTCATACAGTATTAGTGGCAATCAAGGGCAAATATCATTACATTCCCCACTTCAGAGATAAAGAAACGGAGGCTTGAGGAGGGTAACTTTGCCCAAGGTCACAGACATGGCAAACAGCATCGCCAGTACGTTAGCCTGGTCGTCTAAGCACAATGATAAACTTTTAACAACAACAAGGAAAGAAAGGTCATTGGATGTTACCTTTATTGCATAAATTCTCCCAAAATAAGGAAGATGGATTTGTAGTTTACAGGCTGTTCTAAAATGGACACTTGTTTGTCAGGAACTTTGCCTATATTCATATGATGAAACAAGTGATTTTTGTGATTTTTCTCTGTTCCCATGTTGGTGATTTTCTTTTCCTCCTACTTATTGTAGTTTCTCTAGCATACAATTGATTTGAAATGTTTTGGTGAAAGATTTCATAATATGAACTTCATTTTATTAAAAATTATATCTGTCATTCTATATGAACTAATATCACTTTGTTTTCCATTTAAGAAGATATACAAATTTGTCTTCAGGGTCATGGATAGAAGTTTTAGATGTAGCTACAAGTTGAGGGGTTGTTAGCAGCTTGTAATGTTGAATTTGTGGTCTTAATGAATGTGTAAGCCTCTCATGCTAATCAGTGGTCTCTGCATTATATGATCCTATGACTGCAAAAAAAAAGTGTGAATGTTGTATTTTGAGTATCTTAGAGAACAGAAAGCTTGTCATATTCAGTTGCTGCCTCACTAACAAAACTGATCGGCAATATATTAAATAGTTGCTCACTGTCATCCAGCACAGAATTTTGGGCTTTGAAATTTACAATGTTTTTTTGGTTGTTAGGTAATTAGAGCCTGCTTAGTCAATCAACAGCAGTAAAAATTAGATTAGGAAGAAAGTTGTAGTATTGAGAAGATTGTATTTCAAATTGTATGTTATATTGAAATATAAACTTTATGAGAACATTGGTTCCCAAATAACTTTAAATGTACTCTGAATTTTCAGTTCTCTTATTTTCTGCGTCTTGTGAAGCATTTATTATTAACATAATTTTGGCAAGGTATCAGTGGTTAATTGTATTTCATGAGGAATGTTGTCTGTATTTATCACAGGCTCATGTTATTAAGTCCTGTCATAGGTAAAGAATTATTTTACCAAAAAAAAAAAAATCACAAATATAGTGCTGATATATGTTCATATGCCTTTGGTTTTTCTTTTCTTTATTTTTATACACAGGCAAGGGCACTATTACAAACTGCATCATCTCTAGCACCCCATATGTATGAACCGCATTTTAATTTTGCAACAATCTCTGATAAGGTATTCTTTCTTTGTTAATTTTTCATCTGATCTCTTCTTTTTTGTTTTCTTGGTTTTAAAAAATGTACAGATAAATAAGGAAATTCTAACCTCATCTTCCTGAAAGAAATGACTTTTTAAAACTCTTAATTACTATATATATTTATACATCTTTACTTCAAGGGACAGTTTTTAAAACTTTTAATTTATTGCTGAATATTGACTAAACTCCATTATAGATTATAGAATTATTTTATGTTTTGAAATACGGCATTTAGTCATTAAAGAAATTCTCATTTAATAACTCCTGGTATGGGAAGTATTTAGCTATTTATTGGCTTTTACAGCAACAAAATCCTGTGTATTATTAGTAGATCATATTGCCACCAAGTTTCTGGTACCATTGCTGTAAAATTAGTGATATTCTAATGTGAAAGCTATCTTAGCTATGAAGAATATGGGGGAAATGAAACTGAATACTGTATTGCAAGTCAGTTAGTATCCAAAAGCTAAAGGGAACCACATGCCATTTTTAACAATAAGAAAACAAGCAAAAGACATCTAATAACTAGCTTGTACTTGGAAGGTGAGTCTGTTTTGAGAATAAGGAAATGGCTAAAAATATTTGTGATGTAAATTAGGGTCTTGATAGACCGTAAGATATTTATAAAGATGTTATTTTTCATAGCATAAATATGAAGTCATCTACATTGTCATTTCTGTATTGAAAATAAAATAAGCTGTCATTCATGAGTTGTAATTATTGAGCACCTGTAAGTACCAGCCACTGTTCTGGGTGTTTTACATACTTTCTCTAATTCTCCCAACTACCCCGCCTTCCTCACTCATGTTTTTCATGACCAATGTTCTGTTTATTGAGCCTTTGCTATATACCAGGCCCTGTTTTTGGCACAGAGGATGTAATGATGAGTAAAAGACAAAAACCTGTACCTCAAGCAGCTTAATTTCTAATGGAACCCAAGGCTTAAAGAGGATGAAAGACTTCTGCGTCCCGTGGCAGTGGTAGATTTCAGATTCACACCCAGATCCCAATGATGTCCATGTGTTTCCCACTGCACTGTGCTACTGCTTAGTTAGTTAAACCCCTAAGAGGGCTGGCTTACCTTCAGCAATAGCACCACATTTTAATAATACATAACTCAAATGAGATATCTTCTTTAAGCAAAAGGCTACACTTCCATAACAGAAAACAGTATATTAAAAAGAAGTGTTATGATTTGAAAAAGGAAACTTAATTTCTGTTTCTATACATATATATTGTTACCAGAAATCTACCAGAATTTATCTAGATTTTTTGAGTATATACACCAAAAAGCCCTTCCTTTTTAGAACGTATCCATGAATCAAGATATACTCAGACTATAATTAATAATTTATTGTATATTCCAAAATAGCTAGAAGATTTGGAATATTCCCAACACAAAGAAATTATAAATGTTTGAGGTGACGAATACCCCAGTTACCCTGATTTGATCATTATACCTTGTATGCTTGTATCAAAATATTGCATGTACCTCATAAATATAAGTTATTATGTATCAATGAAAAGGATACATTCAGACAGTATGTGTGTTTTTCTTTGGGAATTAATATCAAGTTCATTGAAAAGCAGAGACATGCTTTATAAACTTTTAAAACCAGATATTTTCCCAACGTTATTGTGCCAGCACCACTTAAAACCTCTGAAAACATGTTATTATGCCTTAAATACAGAAGTGTTTGCTTAAATTTTCTGTCTAAAAGGTAACAACTCTAATCAAAATATGTTTTTGTTTGTGGTACCTTACAGATAGTTTTCTCTAAGTTTTCTGAGCTATCTAGAGCTGGCTGTTTCAGCATGCAAAGGTCATTTTACATTTATAATACTATCATCAGTGACAGGAAAAGAAAACATAGGTTTCTAAATTCATTACCAGACAGCTGTAAATTATTTATATAATTGGCTATTTTATCTTTCTCACATACTTTTCAAGATTGAATTATAATCTAGAATTCTAAAATCAAAGTAGCACAATTAAGCAATTTGCCTTTAAGAATCCTTTGAGTTGTGATGTCGGTTGTGGGCTTGTTTAAAAAAAAAAAAAGAACCCTTTGAATTTCTACAGCATGCAGATACTATGTCTTATTTTCTTTTTTGCTTCCTTACTCATTTTTTCTGATCTCATTCTATGGTCTTATTCTTGTATTTTTTGCAGATTGGAGATCTGCAGAGAAGCTATGTTGCTGCGCAGAAGTCTGAAGCAGCATTTCCAGACCATGTGGACACACAACATTTAATTAAACAATTAAGGCAGCATTTTGCTATGCTCTGATTGTTCCTGAGACCACATATGTTCTTATGAAGAGGCATTATGCAAGGGGAAAGAAGTACTATGTCTGTGTATGTATGCATATAGTGTAATACATATATTTTACAAGCTTGTCCTTGATATTAGTGAAGGTGATATATAAGGGTGACACAGAATGTATAATGCAAATTTCATAGTAATAGTAACTTTATAAAATAATATAAAATACAGGATTTAAACCTTTCTAAATAGATCATGAAACTTTCTCCCACATTATATAGTAGATGTTTGTTTATAATGTTTACAAAACATTTTGGTGAATTCCCTCAATGTTTTATAAATGTACATTTTTTAAGTCCTTAAGCTGACTATTAGCCATCATGTAGCTTAAGGAGTCTGAAATCTGCCATTAAAACTGCACCTTTAAGCCAGGTGTAGTAGCATGTGCCTATAGCCCCAGCTACTTGGGAGGCGGAGGTGGGAGGATTATAAATAGAGACTTTCCTTTAGACTTTAAAAATGTATTTAAAACTATTTTTATTAAATATTTTGTGATTTCCTATTAAGTTTTAAAATAAATCAGTGTGTATAACACCATCATTTCATTATTTTTTATGAGTTTTTATTTTAGTCATCTCAGGTGAAACAGGTTTTACAGAAGTCCAGTAATCTTAGAAATTGTCATTATTTTAATTGTATTTCAAATGATGTACCACTAATTCTGTTTTTTCCTAAAAAGTGATTTATGGGATGTCACATTATTAATATAAGAATATCCAGATTAGAAATAGAGTCATAGGCCAGGAGTCCCACTTCTGGTCAGCCACAGCACGGAAGTCAGTGATATTCCAGTACCATGCATGGTATAGCAGTCCTAGAAAGGCTCTTGAACTTTTCTCTGCCTTATTTAGCGGAACTCTCATTAAAGTGTTCACACAAGGAAATGTGTTAATGGGACAGGACCACTCAAACTCATACTTTGGACTTTGGGATCTCCATGTTATTTTCCTTTTTTTTTTAACTTGATGAAAACTATTTGATAGATACTTATATTCTGTTCAGATTTGTATAAATTGTGTACTCAGCTGACAGAACAAAAAAATTGAATTCAAGGAATGATAGCTTGCTGAAGGCTAGAATTCATTACAGACAAGAAAGCAAGGCCCCACGTCGCACAGCTAGTTGAGGGTACATCCATGGCTGCAGCCCAAGGTCTTGTTCCTGCACCTTAGACTTGAACCTTTCTTGGTTCTCTGTGATGTGTTAGTGCTTATTTAGCCCTTGAGAATTTCCTCGGGTACTATCACATTTCCTAATATTGTAGTCAATATTCAGATTCAAATGGTATAATGTGAATCATTTTCTTAATTTAAAATGAGAGCTAATAAGAATGGCTAAACATTTACTGAGGATGTTGAATATGCCCACTGTTCTAAGCACTTTATGGGAATGAATTCATTTCATTCCCACCATAGTCCTATGCAGGCTGTTATTATTCCCATTTTACTTATGAGAATACTGAGGCATAGAAAAAAGCTTATTGAACTAGTAGTAAGTGCCAAAGATTCAGGTTTAGGCAGCGTGGCCCCTTGAGTATGTGCTCTTAATCACTATGCCAAATCACCTCTCTGTGTTTCTGCTGTAAATAAATCTACTACCATTTAAAATGAACTTTGTATGTGTCAGGAAAATTGAATAATAAGGGAATATTAACACAGCAAAAAATAAATGATTCAATTTTCCTAAGGTGATATGGAGGAATTTTGTCTTGAATTTCTGTGAATTCAGTGTGAGCACCAAGGCAAAGAATGACTCACAGTGGCTCAGGGCAGAATGATGACATAGCACCATGGATGACTGTATCAAAGCAACGTTCAGGATGTCTTTGTAACATTTCTTATGGACTGCGTAACTTCTGGCTTCTGTGCCAGTGTTTCTGTAGAAAGAACAGAAAGAACGCTAATAATTGTTTTCCAGTTTTCCATTGTAGCTAAAGAGGTGTTCAATCCATAAATACAAATTGTTCAACCAAAATTCACATCATCGAGCTTACTTCTAACTGATGAAAGTGAGATCTGGCAAGAAGGCTTCCTGTGCTGAAACATTACTGAGGTTAGAAGTTCTTCCTTCTTTACAAATGTGTCATGGCTGAGCCAATCCCTGTAGCGATAACTCTTCCATTGCATTTCTGAGTGCTTTTTCCCAGGCTCAGTTTATCCATCAGAATACAATTTATGGCCTACAGATAAGAAAATTAATAAAGGTAACATGTCACTACATTATTATTATTATTAAGACAGAGACTTGCTCTGTCGCGCAGGTGAATGCAGTGGCATGATCTTGGCTCACTGAAACTCTGCCTCCCGGTTAAAGCAATTTTCGTGCTCAGCTCCAAGTAGCTGGGATTACAGGCAGGCGCCACTATGGCCACAATAATTTTGTATTTTAGTAGAGATGGGGGTTCACATGGTTGCTCAGAGCTGGTCTCGAACTCCCTGGCCTCAAGTGATCCACCGTATGGACTCCAAGGTGCTAGGATTACAGGTGTTGAGCCACTGCACCAGGCGTCTCTGCTTTTTAAGTAGTTTCCATCCACACAACTCTTTTACTACAATGAGGGATTTCTGTCAGGGCCTTTTCAGCTGGGATTGAGTTTTAAGCATTCAGAAAACAAGTATTTTAGGAAGGACTGGGCAGGACTAAACTTGGAAATAACCCGGAAATCAAAGTGTAGGAAAAAAAGCCGTCACCAAATAATTTTGTTATTCTAGGAAATAAGAGAATTGGAATGTTTCATGTTTATGTTCCTTGCTGAGTTCCAAAATGGGTCATCGTAGGTTCAGATTTGAGGGGAAAATTTTTTTTAGCAGTTTGAAAATAACGGCAGTTTCATCTCTTCCATATAGATGGCATTCGTCCTATTTTTAGCTAAATAAAAAACATTTTTGAGGAGACTATCATTTCACTCATTTGATGTCAAAGCCGATCCTTGAAATGAAGAGTAGACATGTTGTTATAATCCTTGGGAATTATATTTCTCACTATGTGATCCTTTTCTTTATCTGAATCTAATTCTGACTAATAAGGAAAAACGGGTGTTAAATGAAAGCAAAATGGGAACTCTTGGTGAAAGCAACCATGTTATCTTAGAGAAGAGGCTAGGACTAGACAGATTTTAGAAGATTTTGTTTTCTTTTATAATCAGAAAGAGAGACCTCTTTCCAATATTTGACACTCAAGTTTTTATGGACTCCAGCACTTGCAACTGTCACTGCCCCAAACCTCACCCTTTTGATCTAATAGCTTCATTTATTCTCTCTAGTGGATTATCTCTTTTTAAAAAATTCACTTTTCCTTTAAGCCGCTTCCCTTTTTTAAAAACAGACAATATAACTGTTTATTAAAAAAAGGAAGAAAAATAAGCAAATAACCTGAAAAGGAAACTCACAAAGAAATTAAATGGTTGATAAACATATGTAACCAAAATCTTTGATAGCTGAAAATGAATTAATTCAGAAAAAGATATATTTTTAAACCTCTTCAGAGAACCAAAGATTTGAAATGTTTATTGTGGCTGAGGCTCAAGGAGAGCGGAATCAGACCTGCTCGAGCTCAAAGCAGAGTTCTGATCTGGCAGAGCTGGCAATGTGTGCTGAATACCCTCGTTCGTCGAGTGCTACTATAAGTGATAGGTACTATAATTGCTGTATGGGGTGCGTGGTACCTGTATCTCAGTACTCAGGAGCCTGAGCAGGAGACTGCATTGTTGTGGTGGCCGCGGTGGAATATTCCGGTGATGCCCAAGTCGCTGCCATTGTCCGTCGCTTCTCAGCTTCTGGGCTCTCATATTATATGAACGTCCACTCTCTTTTACATGTCTCATGCTCAAAAAAAAGGTGATATGGGCAGTGATATGCAGGTGTTATGTTATTATGTAGGTAAACGTGTGCCTATGAGTGGTTTGCTGTCACGGGTCAACCCATCACCTAGATATTAAGCCCAGCATCCATTAGCTATTCTTCCTGATGCTCTCCCTACCTCTACCGTCCCCACAATAGGCTCCAGTGTGTGTTGTTCCCCACCCACCATGTGTCCATGCATTCTCATTGTTCAGCTCCCACTTAAAAGTGAGAACATGTGGAATTTGGTTTTCTGTCCCTGCATTAGCTTACTGAGGATAATGGCTTCCAGCTCCATCCATGTCCCTGCAAAGGACATGACCTTTTTCCATTTTATGGCTGCAGAGTATTCCATGGTTTATACATACCACATTTTCTTTATCCAGTCTATCCTTGATAAAACCTGCCCCCTTTTCTAGTACCACCCTATCTTCTTTGTCACAGGTCTTGAAAGGCTAGATGACTTTTGTTACCTAGTTCCTCATCTTTCATTCATTCCTCAACACTCTTTAATCTGAAGTCTACTTCCACCACTCTAGAAACTGCTTTCACTGAGGTCACCAGTAGCTCCCAATCCAGAGGTCACTTTTTTAACATAACTTTTTTTGAGATATTATTCATATACTATATGATTCCTCTCTTTAAAAAAAGTATACCCAATGGTTTTTAATATATTCACAGTTGAGCAATCATCACTAAAATCAATTTTAAGACACTTTCAGGTTGGGTACAGTGTCTCATGCCTGTAATCCTAACACTTTGGGAGGCCAAGGCAGGAGAATTGCTTGAGCCCAGGAGTTTGTGACCAGTGTGGGCAACATAGTGAGATCCATCTGATATGGTTTGGCTGTGTCCCTACCCAAATCTCAAATTGTAGCTCCCATAATTCCTCTGTGTTGTGGGAGGGACCTGGGGGAGGTAATCAAATCATGGGGGTGGTTCTTTCCCATGCTGTTCTCATGGTAGTGAATAAGTCTCATGAGATCTGATCATTTTATAAAGAGGAGTTCCCCTGCACATGCTCTCTTGCCTGCCTCCATGTAAGACATGACTTTGCTCCTCATTCATCTTCCACTATGATTGTGAGGCCTCCAGCCATATGAAACTGTGAGTCAGTTAAACCTCTTAACTTTATAGATTATTCAGTCTCAGGTATGTCTTTGTTAGTAGTGTGAGAACAGGCTAATACAAAAAAGTAAAAAATTAGCCTGGCACAGTGGTGCATGCCTGTGGTCCCAGCTACTCAGGAGTGTGAAGTGAAAGGATCACTTGAGCTCAGGAGGTCAAGGCTACAATGCAGTGTTCACACCACTGCACTCCAGCATGGATTACAGAGCAAGATCCCGTCTCAGAAAAAAATTTTTTCTCATCATCCCCAAAAGGAATCTCATACCCATTAATAGTCACTTCCCATAGCCCCACAACCCCATTCCTATCCCTGACTGTAGCCCTGGGCAACCACTAATCTACTTTGCTTCTCTGTAAATATACTGTATTAGTCCATTCTCACACTGCTATGAAGAAAGACCCAAGACTTAGCAATTTGTAAAGAAAAGAGGTTTAATTGACTTCAGCGTGGCTGGGGAGGCCTCAGGAAACTTACAATTATGATGGAAGGCACCTCTTCACAGGGTGTCAGGAGAGTGAATAAGTGCCAAGCAAAGGGGAAAGCCCCTTATAAAACCATCAGATCTCATGAGAACTCA